AATGAAAAAACTTAAACAAATATAAGGGACGAGAAATAAAATTATTAATGTGATCTTATAAATTCCAAATGTTTGAACCACTAATAAAACGAAACATACTTTGTGTAATAAAATCTTTGGAATAGTTTGTTTTTCCTTGCTTAAAATGTTTATATATAGTGTTTGAAAAAAAAATATTAAGCGAAATATAAATAAGACCTATTTTTTTTTTACGGTTTTTTAAGTAGCTTTTAGTTTTTTTTCTAATTTAAAAAACATTGTTAAAATATATATATTTTTAAAATAGTTTTATTAATAATTATATTGGATTACTGTTTTTATCATCGTATAAGAATATAAAATCAATTTTCAGAAATTTTCATGACTTTTCATAATTATTTATGTCATTAATAATTTGTAAAAATAGAATTATGAAACAAAATTATTTTTAACTTAATTTTAAAAGTATTTATCTAAATTTTTAAAAACTGTTTTTAGTAACTAAAAAATAAACTAAATCAAACCACTTTTTAATATGTATTTTTTGTAATTAATTTAGCAACCGTGTGATTAAAATAATTAATTTTTGAATCCATATTAATTAGAAAAAAGAGAGAGTTAAGTTTGGTGTTGATGAACTCTTCTTTTTTAGAACCTCTGTCATCAAAGTCATAATTTGTTTCTTGAAGTGGAAGTGTTGATTAGGCAACAAAAAGCCTGTTTCGACCAAATCTAAATCTTGCAAACTTTCTTCACTCTTATCTTCATCTTTCTCTTTGCCCTGGATGGCAAAAGCATGTTACTATACCTAGAAAAAATGACCAATCATCACCCACAATAAAAAGGATTGGTATTAATTAATACTAACTTTCAGTAGTTGTATACTTTTAGAGTTATGCAATTTAGGTTTACCAACTTTAATTTTTCAGTTTTTATTTTCTTTCAAATTTCAGCTCTGAAAATTTTAGATGTATTAAAATAATTACATGATTTATAATAGAATCTATGAAGTTGTAAACTCTATCTTGAATTACAATTTTGATTTCTTTGTTCATAATTCTTAAATATTGAGGTAAATAACAATTAATGTATGTACTGTAGCACAATATATTTATACAAAAAGTATTAATTACATATCGAAATTAAAAGAAAAGATCAAAACAGAAGAGAAGATAATGAATAAAGAGGATGATATGTGAATGTCATAATCATGAAACAAACAAATAAAATTTGGCAGCCTTGAATTCTCTTGCCAAACTCCCAACACCAGTTAGTGCCAGCACACAATGTCACTTAAAAAAAATATTAATTTATACTTTTAAAATTTTAAGCAATAATTTTTTATTTGTTATATAGGCATTTATAAAGAAATAAAAATATATTTTTATTATATATGCTATTATAAAAATATTTTTATAAATGATCTTTGCCTTTGGCGGGTTTATAATTAAATCGATGAATTACTCAAATAAGTCGCATTAACTCTCTTGTGAGCTAATTAATTTTGTTTTTTTTTTAAATTATTTAAAAAACTAGATAAGAACCTAGTGATTACAACCTCTTTAAGAACTAGGTGTTCTTTCATATAAATGTTTGATTGAATTAAGTAAATTAAGATAAATATTGAATATTTAAGATATTAGCTTTTATATGATATGTTTTTGACAATAAATTTTATAATTTATAATTAATTTTTATTTTTTAATTCACATGAATAATTTTTTCATATATTTCTTTTTTGGTTATAGTGGTAGGAGTGAAGAATATATATTTTATTATTTTTTATTTAAATTAAATATTAAAATATTTTTATTATATTTTAAAATAAGAAAAAATTATATTATTTTATAATTTAAATAGTTATGATTAAGATATTATTAATATTAAATATTTTATTATATGTTTATTTTATATATATATATATATATATATATATTAATAAAATATATACGTGGGAGAATTTTTTTATTTTATCTTATATATTTCATTTATAAAAAAATACACATATATATTTTTTTTAATTTTCAACGATAAAAAATTATATAAAATTTTAATTTTTTTATTAATTTATGTATGAACTTGATAGGTATATTAACGGAGAGAGACAAACCTAACTCATTGCTTCGTTGTGGTACCATTATGTTGTTCCAAAAGATGAAATGATTTTTCATAAATGCAATGATTTTTGCATTAGTTTTACTTTTTCTAACTATATTGATATGTTTTAATTTTAATTCATTTTTTATTCAGAATAATTTTACCATCTATGTAGAGTTTCTACCAAGAATAAGTTATGGCTCCTACTCAAATTATCAACGACAACTAGATTCTCTCTTTTCTCTGTTTTTTTTTTTTGGTCGATGAGAATCTAATGGAATACTCCATGTTTGAAATTTAACAATTAACACGGGTATGATAAGAAAACTATAACCACAAATTAATTACATAGTGAGTTATTTTCTTAAAAATAACAAAAGAAATAATTTCAATGTCAATTTTCTAGGCAAAATTCTCTACGTGAAAAAAAAGGAAAAATATATTGGATAAACGAAAATAAAAATAAAAGGAAAAACGAAAGAGCGACCTAATAACGTAGATACCAAAAGTCATAAAAGAAACTTGGAAGGTGTGAAGCACGGTGTATTTGTCTATGAAAAGAGCTCTCTATAACCTCTAAAAGTCGCCAAGAAAATGGATGCAGGGGAACCACATTGTATGTGAAGGGATGTTTGCGTCTGTTATTTATGTAGAGAGATAGATAGAGACTACTTCTTTCTATCGACAAGGACCTCACGGTTTTTGGAAGCACAAAGCTTGATTTTTCTTTAATTTTCATCACCAAGAAAACGGAGCAAGAATTAATATACATGTTAATCAATTATGGTCTCCCTAGTAACCCAAAAGTCACTATATTAACTGCACATAGAGAGAGAAATGAACCCTAGGAGCTTTCTAAAAGCCGCTGAAACAAATTAAACTCATTTGGGTTTTACGTAAACCCATTCCATTTCACAAAATTTTCTTGCAGATTAGATATGTCTTGCACATAGACCCCACATATCTCAAATCTACATCAGTCATGTTGATGACGGGTAGCATGATTTCAAAAAATTATGGAAAGTGCAAAATCATTATAGTTGATTTAACTGTGGTTTTAAGTCATTAAATTAATGGATTCGGTGTTAATTAAAGTTATCACAAAGCTTGTATGTAGCAGTTAGTGAAGTGGTGAGGTTCTGTCTGGTATTTAGATTCCTTCCTTCTTTTTTTCCTTTCTGCATTATATTTGTTTGAAAGAGAAGAAGATGAATGCAGATTATTTAATATTATTATCCTTTTGGATATGGAAACGCGGCAAATATACAATGAATTGCAAAGAGATGAGATTGGATAAGATCTCACAGAATATTTAGTTGGAGAGTGTATGAAAATATGTGTCTGCATGCATGTGGTGCATGTGATATTTTGATAAGCGTATAAAAGAGGATGATCTGTAAATAGCCACTTCGCATATGCATTTTTCAGGATGTCTGGCAACTTCTTGATTGGCTTCATCTATTTTTTAGCTATATAATGTATGCTCTGTCATAGATGCCATGCCACGATTATTTGTCTGATAAGATAAAGAAAAACTATTCAAAAACAGAAGAATAAGCATTGCCTTTTATTTTATCATATTATTATATCATCTGTCACACCCCTAATTCCTACAAATTATTAAAATATACATTATAATAGTTTTTTTTACATATTATCCATTAATATGACAGATAATAAGCATTCCTCATTTTTCTTCTTAATAAGTATATATCATCAAGATTGAGCCGCGGCTGCATGATTTTCATGACCGAATCTTCAAGTAATTATTCGCCAAAAATGAAAAAGAAAGACCCACAGAGACTAGCTTGAACTTTAGACACTTATTTCGTACCACATGCTTTGTTAGAATGAGCGAGTTCGTCCCATTCTACTTTTCACAGAGTAAAAACAACACATAATAAAATGAGGAGATGAATTGACTTGTTTTTTATTACATTCTAAAAAGTATATTTTAATTAGTTTGAGAATATATATCTTAATTTTATAATATGGACGTTTATTATAATTAACATATAGATGTTTGAAAATGAATCTGTCTCTTTATATAAAGTAAAGAATATTTAGATAAAAAAAAATATGTGTGATATGTATAAATAGTTGAAAATAAATGATAAAATTACGTACTTAACTTTTAAAATGATGATTTGGATTCCTCTGACTTAGTAAGCTAATAATTTGAATATGTTATTCACTAATTAATCTAAGCCACCTCAGGAAGCATTAAACCCATAGTGTCTCAGTCAACAAGTTTTAATGCATTGAGAAAGACAAGCATTGAAGAGACTCAGGTCCATTAATTGAATTGTGTATTATTTATATAGTATTTTGGAATCAATTGAATTGTGTACAGATAAAAATGCTGAGTAAACCATTAATTGGTATATAAGATGATAGAATTATTTGAATAAATGATAGAAGCACTTGGATTTATTTTGATTATTTGAAAGCAGAAACAGAAGATGCAGAAGATATATTTGTTGGAGACGAAGCAAGTTCCAAATGACGAGAAACTGTACTTGTTGTGTGAACTGTGACACAAAAACAAACAAACAAAATATTAACTTTATCAAATATGTCAGTATCACATACAAAAATTAAATAAAAAACAAATAAACAATGGATCCGAAGAAAGAAGCATGTTCGACCACATGGCGAACTATAAGAGGAAGGAATTATAGGTGAAGGGTGAAGTGTGGAGTGTCCGGTACCAGCCAGTGGACGGTAACAAACAGTACACCGAATCAAAGCAAAACGACAGCGTTCCACTTGGTGGAGTCGTATCATTCATATATTATTATTATTCACATTATTATGCTTATAAATACGTGCCATTGGGAAGCGTTGTGTACACCAAAATTGCTTAAGCTCTTAAACCTCTTCTTCTTCTTCCTCTGATATTGATTCCATTAACACACGTCACAATGTGTGGTATTCTTGCTGTTCTTGGTTGTTCTGATGACTCTCGAGCCAAAAGGGTTCGCGTCCTAGAGCTCTCTCGCAGGCAATCAATTTTTTTTTTTTTTCTTCTACACTTCATGATTGAGTTTAATTTACATGCGTGATCCCTGTAAAGTTTTAACATGTTTACTCAGCCACAAACTTTACAATAATTATCGTAAAAACCAACAAAATAAGATGATAATGTAACAAAATATGAATAAACTATGTTTTAAAATAAATGACCAATTCATTTGTTTAATATGAAAAAGATAAAGAAGTGAGATGTGGGGTCCTGGTTGAAATGCAATTATTGGTTATATTTGCTGGGAAAAGTCCAAAAACTTTATCACGAATCAAATAAATAAAAGGGTTTAGTTGGTCGTGAAATCATTCTTTTTTTTTATTAAATGATTTCTTATGCTGCTTTTTTTTTTTAATACTAATTCGAGTACGATTAGAAAAACTTATTTTTTCTCAATTTCAGTTTTTTTTAACAAGTTAGATGTTTACAACATAAGCTGAATTTTAGTAAAATAAATAAATAAGTAAATCAAATACTATTTTATAAATAAATATTTATAGTTCATAATTAGTTTTTAATATTCTCTTGCCTCTAACATTTGTACAACTTTTATATATATATATATATATATGAGAGAGAGAGAGAGAGAGAGAGAGAATTATTTTGTTCTATTCACGAGATTAATTATTTTTAAATGAATTTTCAGTAATTTTATCCAAATTAAAGACATTTGTAGATTATAATAATTTACAACCAGTTTTTTTCTTCTGGATTGATTTATAACCATAATTGATTGTAGAAAGAATCCAACTTTTGTACCTTTCTCAAATACATTCTGGATGAACGAGAGAGAAAAAATATATATTCTAAAAGAATTTAAAATAAGTTTTTAGTTTGTATCGTCATAATAAAGAATTTTACATTATCAAATAGTTATATATTTTTTTCTCAGCATGGTTTTGAAACTATTTATAATGAAAATTAACAAAATTATTATACATATTAATTTATGATTTGGTTATAAAAAAGGAATAATATGACATTTCTATTTTTATAACTAATTTTATTGGTATAAAATAGTTAATATCATTAATATCGTAAAAAATATAAAATGACATAATATTTTGAGTTAATCACAAACTATAATATATTATAAATTTGTTGACTTTTATGATAATTTTGATCAAAGTCATACGAACTAGTGATGGATGGGTTGAAAATATTTGGTTTTACGCTGAATGCATGGATAATACATAAATATTGTCGTATAGTATTTAATAGTTTGGGTTAATGATAATTTAGATGATTCAAAAATAGTAATTAGAACTGAATTTTGTTTTGCGGTTGTTGGCGTCACAAACGTAGATTGAAGCACCGTGGCCCTGACTGGAGTGGGCTCCATCAACATGGTGACTGCTTTTTGGCACACCAACGGTTAGCCATAGTTGATCCAGCTTCTGGGGATCAACCTCTCTTCAACGAGGACAAATCCGTCATTGTCACGGTAGGCCATGACTTCTGCAATAATACTTCTACACGATACTCTCTCTTCATCTCCCTCATCTTATTTATGATGCAATGTTTTTTGCTTTTCTTTTCAGTCATTATTGCTTTTGTATTTTACTAATTCAATGGATGTAAATCATGACTTCGAAACAGGTAAATGGAGAGATTTACAACCATGAAGACCTCAGAAAACAGCTGCCTAATCACAAATTCCGAACTGGAAGTGACTGTGATGTTATTGCACACTTGGTTAGTCATCTTTTATATACCATGTTTTCTATTCATCAACCTCCAACTTGAAACTTGAGAATTGAGTATCATTCTCCTATATATCAATGATTTCTGGGTCTTTTAAGATTCTATATATAAAGATTCATTAAACTAGATGACATAATTTTAATTAAATAATTAAGGTTCACTTTGATTATAATAACGACATAAAATTATATTCTGAAGACTAGTTCCTGTCATGTGATGATGTGTAAAGAGGACTATTATGTATGAAAATGACATAAGTAAAATGTTAGATGATTATATTTTACATGAATGATCAACATTTAAATATTTAAATATTTAAATGTTTTTTAATCTTGATTAAACTAATATAATTATGTGGTCAAAGTTTAATGCTAGTGGCACAGTTGTGCATAAATCATTAAGATTATTTTACTTAAACATGATTTGATTATATTATCTATTAATCAAAAGAGGTTTTTGAAGATCATTCCTTTCACTGATTGTAAATTTTTGTTAGTCCAGCTAGAAATTGAAGTAATAATGATTGAACATGTAGTTCTTAACAAGTTCAAGTTATTGATGTTAATCTTTGGAATAGTACGAGGAATACGGAGAAGACTTTGTGGACATGCTGGATGGAATCTTCTCGTTTGTTCTTCTGGATACCCGTGACAACAGTTTTCTAGTGGCTCGAGATGCGATAGGGGTTACCTCCTTGTACATTGGTTGGGGGTTAGATGGTAATGTTATAATATGTCCTACTTTTGAATTTAACTCGTGCATTTTCCAGTTTGTACTTGATTTTGAATTGAATAGATGGAGAAAACTTGACAAGTTTGGCACCACTTTGTGTTCAGGCTCTGTTTGGATTTCATCTGAAATGAAAGGCCTGAATGATGATTGTGAACATTTTGAGTGTTTTCCACCTGGTCACTCGTACTCTAGCAAAGAGAGAGGATTCCGCAGATGGTACAATCCTCCTTGGTTCTCTGAGGCTATTCCAACAGCCCCTTATGACCCTCTAGTTTTGAGACGTGCTTTTGAGCAGGTAAGATTCACAAAATTCTAAAATATTGTTTGAATAAACTTCTTTACAAGAAATTGAGAAAGTAAAATGTATTAAATTTTTGAAAAGTGTATCTAAAGATGGTAAAAAAAGTTGGAATTGGAACTTCATCCAACTCTTAAAAGTTCCTTTCTTATATGCACAAGCAGCATTTCCTAGCTTATTAGTTTTAGTACATCTTGAGCATTTGATTTGTTAGGTTCCAGGCACTGTGTTCATGCAAGAACTATTGTTTGTGAACTTTTTCATGAGTACAACTAACACAGTGAATGTGATTACAGGCAGTCATAAAAAGGTTGATGACTGATGTGCCTTTCGGTGTTCTACTCTCTGGAGGTTTGGACTCTTCATTGGTGGCATCCATCACTTCTCGCTACTTGGCCACCACAAAGGCTGCTGAGCAGTGGGGTTCGAAGCTACATTCATTCTGTGTAGGCCTTGAGGTGTACCATCTAGTCAAAATTATGAATCACATAGCAAATTTAATGGTTTATTTTTATGAAAACATTTAATGTTGTATTAATCTTTTGTCACCTCATGGCGAGTAGGGCTCACCAGATTTAAAGGCTGCAAAAGAAGTTGCTGACTATCTAGGCACTGTCCACCATGAGTTTCACTTCACTGTTCAGGTAACTAACTACATGAAAAAGAACTTTTCACCTCACTATTTGGGGACTCTTCAATTTAGTAAATAATGGATATATGTTGTGTGCAGGATGGAATAGATGCCATTGAGGATGTTATCTACCATATTGAAACATATGATGTGACTACAATTAGAGCAAGCACACCCATGTTTCTTATGTCTCGGAAGATTAAATCATTAGGTGTCAAATGGGTTATCTCAGGAGAAGGATCAGATGAGATCTTTGGAGGGTATCTGTATTTCCACAAGGCACCTAACAAGGAGGAGTTTCACAGAGAAACATGCCGCAAGGTCATAGATTTATCATTTTCATTGACACAACAATATAAGGGGGTTGAAGTACAAGTGTTGACAGAAAAATAGTATTGTTTATTATATGCAGATCAAAGCACTCCACCAATATGATTGCTTGCGAGCCAATAAATCAACATTTGCTTGGGGTCTAGAAGCCCGAGTACCATTTTTGGACAAGGCGTTTATCAATGTTGCAATGAATATTGACCCCGAGTATAAAATGGTATGAGTTAAAAATGTGTGAATAGGATTCTTCATCACTTGAAAAATCTAAGACAAATTTATTAAGTTCGTTTCATATTTTAATGGTTCAGATACAAAGAGATGAAGGACGAATTGAGAAGTGGATTCTGAGGAGAGCCTTTGATGATGAAAAACATCCTTATCTGCCGAAGGTACTATGTAATTTGTTGCTATGTCTATATATCTTTGCAAAATTAATTTGTCAAACTAACACCTACACATTTTTTTCCATCCAGCACATTTTATACAGGCAGAAAGAACAATTCAGTGATGGAGTTGGTTATAGTTGGATTGATGGCCTTAAAGCCCATGCTGCAAAACATGTATTGAATCCAAACGTTTTTAAATGACTGTGTGATGGAGTTTTGTGTTGTCATGAAAATTATTTTGCTTATAAAATTGACATTTTTCCCTAGGTGACTGACAAGATGATACTTAATGCTGGTAACATCTATCCCCACAACACCCCAACAACCAAGGAAGCATACTACTACAGAATGATCTTTGAGAGTTTCTTCCCTCAGGCAAGTTAATCAACCAACTCTTAATGTAATTTCTAAGAACTTAGATGTATGCCTGACAGTACCCCAAAAGTTAACTCGTAGGGTGAAGATTGCCCTCAACGTATACAAACTATTTTGACCATAAAACTAGTCAATGTAAGTTCTCTAATATATTCAATAAGAGCTGATTCCAATATGTATTTGTTGATTTCGTTTTGCAGAACTCGGCTAGGCTCACTGTTCCTGGAGGAGCAAGTGTTGCATGCAGCACAGCCAAAGCTGTTGAGTGGGATGCTGATTGGTCTAACAACCTTGACCCATCTGGTAGAGCAGCACTTGGAGTACACATTTCAGCTTATGAAAACCAGAACAATTTAGCTACCAAAGGTGCAGAAATTGAGAAGCTTATACCTATGGATGCTGCTCCTCTTGGTGTAGCCATCCAGGGCTAACATAAAGATGTGACATAGAATAATTGGATGATAATGATAATAATTAGCTAAATGTGAATGAAAATTTCCCTGCTGTATAATTTCATCTTGGCAAAGCTTTATATATAGGGCTTTCTAGAATTACATTGAATTCTGTGATTTGAACTCTTAATAGAAGTGTTTCTCTTGTCAGTTCATAATGAACACAAAATCCATTATCTCAGTAGTGTGGTTTCCCTTTTTTTTTTCTGTTTAATTAGCTCAAGCATACTCTTCAATGTGAAATGACTTTAAAATATGAACTCAAATTATTCATATGTATAGGATTTTAGGAACTATAATGAGAATGCAAATAAATTTAAAATTGATCTGCACATGTGAATAACATCGGAACTGGGAAGGAGCAAAGCAAGTTTGTGCATTTAAATGCATGATACACATAATAATATAATCAATGAGAGTTATACATTAACTTTAATAGTTTCTCTAAATTCTTATTTAGGACAAGAAAAATCTATTTAAAAGGTGAAGATAAAACTATCAATTTTTGCAAGAATCTAGGATAGGATTAATATTTATAAATAAGTTAAGACAACTAAGTTTAAATAAAAGTTATACAAATTTCATAAACAGCAAAATGATAACTTGTAAATCCTTATACCTCTCTGTTCAACATAATATATCATTTATCCTCCAGAATATCCATTTGTTACACACTTTACATATATAACATTTATAATTCACACTTTACATTTATAGAACAACAAAGAAACTTGTCCATTTCCTAAACACATAACTTCACAGTTGCAGCGATTATGCAACCCTAAAATAATGCATCACTCAATTAATGAGTGAACATGTTAATGAATTAGTAAAAATAAAATTTAGTACAATAAAGCAGTAGAAAATAGTTCATTCCAAGTATCAGGCAATCCAGGTAGACACCAATGGCTGCAATCAGCTCTGTTAGGGTTAGCTCTCTTCTGAGGACTCAATTCACCGCTGTAAACTGAAGGGTGGCCATCCTTCCTTAATGCTGATAACATTGTAATATCCAAAAGATATGCAGGGTTTCTCATTTCTCTTATAACCATATTCACAATCCTCATCTGCTCAGGATATGCTCCAGGGTATGTTGTGCCACGAATTGGGGTAGTTTCACCATAACAATTCTTTGTTGCCATCACAGTTTTTCCACCCACTTTCCATTCATTTGGACTGTATATTAGTATCATCTAGTTAACTTGTGCTCAAATTTGTGATAAAAAAATGGAGACAATGTCAAACCAAATATTTAAATCATATTGCATTGACACTACAGATTTCTTTGAAAATTATCAGAGATCTTTACATTTTATTTCTATAGTAACTTTCTTAACTGTATGAAATGATACATTATACTGACACAAGGGATATACCTCTCACTTTATTATCTAAAAAACACATTACACATTACAAATCACGATTCTTCTTACTGTGTTTATCAATACTTATTAATGTCAAAGCTTAGATGGATTAATGCTACTCAAGTTAGTTGGAACATGTGGTGGTAGTAATGTCATGGACAGTACTAAGAAACTGTTTTTTAAGTCCATACTAAAATTTAGACATATCCAATCACTGTTACGAACCCAAGACAATGGACATCTGCATGTGCTATGCGACAGCCTTGTCACAACAGATTACATGGCACATTTATTTTGGCCCATATCTTATTTAAATATATGATGTTTAAAACTGTTGGCTTGCTTGCGATATCCACTCACGAGATATTGTGGTTATTGCTATGGGAAAATACTAGAGATAACTTTTTTACAGACCAAAACACTTTGTTGAACTATTTTCATGTGTATGGACATTATTAATAATGTGATGTGTATCATGAATGTTTTATTTCACCGACACATTTTTTAACTTAGGACTGCATCACGGTGATCCTGCTGCACCAGGAAAAACAACTTTCTCAAGATCTGACAGGGTTGTTGTGGTAAGACAATAAAAGAGCCAATTGCAAACTCATGTGACCATAATTGACTTTGAGGCTCCAATAAAGAACCTTTGCATGGTTTGGATAACCAAGATTTTACATAAATGAAATAATATTGGAGCTAATAAGACTGCTATTTAAGTTTGGTGTCATAATGTTTTCAGAGCAACGCTGGCAAGAAAAACTGTGGAAAAAGACAATAAAAGAGCCAATTGAAATCTCTTGTGACCATGAATGGCTTTGAGGCCCCAATAAAAGTATCATTGCATAATTTGAATAAACTGGACTTGATACAAATGAAATAATGGGGCTAACAAGATTCCTATTTAAGTTCTGTTATCAAAATATTTTCAGAGGAATGCTATCAAAAGTGCTAATAATAATAACAAGACTATGTACCTATATAAACATGTGATAGAGGAATTTAGAAACTCTGAAGAACAAACAGCAGCATGATTTAATTAATGATGTAAAAAATTAAGGGAATAAAATAATGACAATTTTTGCAAATGACTGCTATATAGTCAGTTGCTATGAAATTTTAAATATTTAACTTTTTGGTATCAAATAGACTTCGCTTCCAAATTATGTAAAAGTGCAATTTAGATCTCAACCTGTGGCAGAGACAGCACCAACAAGTCCATAAATTTCAACTTGAAAGCAGACAGAAAACTCAACTTGCAATAACCTTTTCGACCGAAAGCAATTTGAAATAATCTATATGCAAGCTGTCAATACCTGGTCAAAGAAGGGTCCCATTCTCATCCCTTAATGCAAATATACAATTCACCAGATAAAATGCTAATGTAGTTCGACTTTAGGGAGAAAGATTGAAATTTTGTTTCATGTGTCTGATTAATTATCAATCTTCAATAATTTAATTTTATTATCTATTTTGCTTTATCGGTCTGAAAATGTTGATTAAATATAAGTTAAATAGAACCAAAGTGTCTTTCGTTCTTATTCACCATAATATTTCTAAGGCAACATTTTTGGTGTTAGGAGGTGCTATCCAAATTTAAATGATAATAATACCAATATGAAGCCTAGAAATCAGATACTCAGTTTCATTGTTTATATTCAACACAATAATGCAAGAGAGAGAAAGCAGTTAAAGATAATAAGATTGTCAAAGATGGAGAGACCCTACTTGTAGTGTGTGGGAGAAATTGCCTGAAAGAACACCCTTGTTTTGCTTCTATCAATGTTGGTGTCCACCCAATTAGCCCATGTTTTCATACCCCTTTCCAAAGCTGCTAAACGATCCATATCTGGGTAGAACTTGCCTCTTAATTCTACATAATCCCACCTGCATGATTTTACTAACATTTTTGTTAACATTTAACTAAAGAACTTAACTTCTATGCAATTTAGTATAGAAAAATTATACAGTCAATTAGAAGAAATGAATAATTATTGTAAAAGTCAATATCCTTGTTATATATAACAATTTGTGATTGAATAAATTGTTTACATGAAAACAACTTTAAAAACTAAAATAAATAAAACAAGGGCAAAGCTAACTTTTTTTATTATTTTTTTATTTTTTAGTGTTCTGTTGAATAAAGTTACTAAAGGGCCTACCCCTTAAGAGAACCTTGATGACTCCACCAATGCCCTGTGTTAAAAGACAGCACATCAGCATTCCTCCATGCGTCACCATTACCATCTACCTTTTCCAGCCTCAGAATTCTGTTCCCTTGGACAACACCCACCTCCACCAAATAAGGAGCTCTGTAAAATGAAATGCTCACACCATAGTCCTGCACATACCATATCAAACCCAATTTGGACCTTTTCTCAACAATGCATTTTTACCCTGCATGGTCTATGTATGATTCTAACTTCTAAGGGTAAAGAATGAAGATGATGTGGCTGCAGTTTGCATCCACTTGACAAAATTAATGCCATTACAACACTTCGGGTCCCCTCACGAAGGGATTCTTAAGTAGAAAGCTACATCCTTGGTCTAAGTGACACTATCTCACAAACACCTTTTCAACAGATTATTTGTCCTATTACAGAATATATGACCCTACCCACCACTATTTTTAATGAAACTTAACAAAGTGAGAAAAACAAACTATTTACTACTGGCAAAAGTTTGTTGTTCTTACCTCTTCTTGACCTACCAAAACCTGAATCTTATCCAGAAAAAAAAGATCTGCCATTATCACCAAATGGGCTTTGTTTCTATATACTTCTTTTATAAATTAAAATTAACCTAAATATATAAGTTAAATCAGCTTTTAGACAGATTAAACCAGCGAGTGTTAATATAAGTTGGACTGCATATTTAATTCATTTAATGTCTTTATTTCTTCTTCAATAAGTATTTGTAAGCCAAACATGAAATCTTCCGAGGAATGGAAGTGTCAGTATTGCCATGATTACTCGTTTACTGCTCAGAAAAAATTGTTTTGACTCACCAAGAATCTGAAGACTGAGAGAGGATCTCCCCTGACCAAATGTGTATGTGCTTGAGGTGCTGCAGCAGATAGCATACAAATCAAAGACTGCCATTGGTTCCTTCCCAACGAGTCACCAACAAACATCACAGTTTTGCCTTTCATCTTCAGCAGAAACTCAGCCCCATTGAACCTACCATGACATATTAATGCCAAAAAACCATTCAAATTATAACACACTCACAATACTTTATTTTAAATGCAACTTAATAAAATTCAGTCAGATAAAATAACACAACAGTACCACTCACAACATAAACAACAATTAGGAGAGATTTACTACATGAATCACGTGATAAACTATGTTAAAACCAAAACTTCAGTAACACTAACAAAATATATTAGGACATATTTTATTTCTAGTGGTGTTGTGTCCAATGTGGTTGTTAGTACCTTGGGAGCTCACAGTTGAGAGGTTTCCAACGGTATTTGAGGTAACCAGAATCAGGGCGACCGTACATTTGGCAATTGAATTCTGGGTCTATAATTGGGCAGCTAGAAGAATGGTAAAGAGGGTATGTTTCAGTTTCATCACGGACCCAAGTACCCATGAACAATGAACAAGTACTTTGGTTGGTTTGGATCATCTGGTGGCTGACATTGTTATGGTGTTGTTTCATGCCTAAAAGCACAGCAGAAGAAGCTACCTGGCATTGAAGGGAAACAACTAGGACAAGAAGAGAAACGAATGAGGCCAAAATTCCATGAGAGTTTTGAGAGCAAAGTAGTGACATTGCTAGAGAGAACATAAGAAAGGGAAAACAGAAAGGCACAAACAAAGACACAGACAAAAATGGTAACTGTTTACAAATGTATATTGAAAAAAGGTGGGACGTGTCTATGAGTTATGTCAGAAAATCTTAGAAAAATATGGAAATGGGGTTTTGGTGTGTGCATGTGAAGGTACGGATGAACGTGGTCACTATGCAACCTTTCTACGCGGTTCTGTAACTTGAATGATTAAGTGGAATATTGTGCCCTTCAAAAGGTTATTTACTGTTAGACGGGCTTAAAAATAAAAGTGGGGGATTTCCCCACCAAAAACCATACATCCCTTTTAAATAGTTGACTTTTATTAATATAATAATTTATAGACTGATTTAATAAATATAAAAATAAAGTAAAATTATTATTATAATATTAAAAGAGAGTTATTTACAGTGGTTTTGAGTTGTTAAAGTATGATTTTCCTAAAAACAAAGGTAGATGGGTATTTTAGTTTCTCAGTTTTGGTTTATTCGTACTAATATCTAAAATCTAAAATGAAGTTTTTTTTGAAAAAAATTGTTTAAGAATAAAATTAAATATTTTATTTTAAGTTATATAGTTAAAGTTATTTAAATTTTAGGTAAAGTGGTTTATATAAATAATTTTAAATAATTTTTTATTTTTAAATAATTCTAAAATTTACAATAAAATATTTATTTTTATTCTTAAGAAATAAATAAATAATTTTAAAAAAATATTTATATATTAAAATTAAAAAAAATTATAATTTAAAATATTATTATTTGTTTATATTATGTTATTAAAATATATAAATATATTATAATTTAAATTATAGAAATTAATTAATTAAATTTAAATTATTAATTATAATTAATTATTTTAATATATAAATATAATAATTTTTTAATTTTTTTAATAAAAATATTAATTAATAAATAAAAAAATTTAAATTATTTATCTAATTAAAGGTATTTTTTTAATATAATAAAAAAAATGTATTGATACTATAAAATTATTTATGATGAATTAAAATTTATAATTTATTCTAATTATAACGGACGAGTTTTTTTTTTTTTTTAAGAATTAAAGACATGACCAATTAAATAGGACGAGTTCTTCTTAAAAAAATATATATTAACGTCTAAAATTTTCTTTTTGTAGATGAATATACAATTAGTTAAAAAAATATTTTAAAAAATAAATTTTATACTAAAATTTTAAAATTATATTTTTAAAATCTCTTTAAAGTATAAATTTAAACATTTTAATTATAAATTTAATTATTTAATTTTAATTCCTGCTGACGCAGTTGCATAACTTGTTGTTTAAAAGAATATATTTATATCTTATAAATAACTTTACTAAAATATATTTAAATAATTATTAAAAATATTAAATAATAATTTTTTATTATATTTTTTTATTTTTGAATAGGAAATTTAAAATTTATATATTTTTTTATTATATGAATTATTTAAGTTATAATTTTAGAAAAAATTGATAAATTTAATATATAAAATATTAAAAGTAAATTTAAAAATAAGTTATTAGTAGCAAAATAAAAATTATAAAACATGATATTAAAGAAAAATAATAAAGGTAGAAAGATTTTTATAAAATGAAAATAATAGAGATTTATGAAGAAGAAAATCTTCTACAAATTTCTCCCGAAATTCAAGAACAAACACACCGACTAAATCTAAAAGCGTAATAGACGTCGTCCTCGTTGTGGAACCTGGACACCACTCTTCAGATTAAAATTTTCTTAACATTATTGTCAATAATTTTATTTTTTAATTTTTATTATCAATGATTATGTTATTTTTAATATTATACATTAAATTCTGTCAATTTTTATTATTTTTTATTTTTAAGTTTATGTTATATTAATAATAATAATTTTTAACTAATTAAATAATATTTTTACTTTATTATTTAAAAAAAATTAACATGACTTTTTTAATATAATATTTATAATTTATCAAATAAAAACTATTACATAAATTTTTATAATATAATATTTAATTTTTTAATACATTACCTAAATTAAATTTTTATTTATTCTATTTTTTTCTAAAATTATAACTTAAATAATTCATTTAATAAAAAATATAAATTTTAAATTTCCTATTAAAAAAAACATATAAAAAAATATAATAAAAAATTATTATTTAATATTTTTAATAATTATTTAAATATATTTAAATAATTTAATATATATTTAAATAATATATTATTTTTATTATTTTTTATATAAATATTATTTAAATTTTAAAATTAAATTTTATTTTTAATATTAATTTTATTATTTTTAATTATTATTTTTTTTAATTTTTTTATTTAAAAAAAATGGTAAGTTTAAAGTTGGAATTCTATTTACTGGAAACCTAATTCCAAGTACAACAATAAAAGAGGTTCAGTTAAGTAAATAATTTTATGAGAGATTTAATTAAATAAATAATTTGGTTCTGTTACGTATTTATTATATATATATATATATAATATATAATATAATAATATTATTTTAGTAAAAAGTATGTTATTTATAGAAGAAACAATGTTAGTTTTAAAAAAATGAAAAATAAATAAATAAAAAATTATGTTGTAAAGAATTTTTCCTCGATATTCTTAATTTCAAAAGTTATTTCTCAATTTTTATTTTTCAGATTTTATTTTTTTATTTTTTTCTTATAATGATAAAAAAACCAACTAATTATTTATTTTGTTATTATTATTCCTTTATATTAAAAAATAAAATAAAAATATTTTGTTTAAATATTTATCATATCCAAAATTGAAAAATTATTAAACTTTCATTTTATTTTATAAAAATTTCAATGCTAAAATATTGAAGTTAGTGTATATAAAAAAGAATATTTATTTATAAATATAATTTTTTATTATTATGATGGAGATTTTCATGGTTTGGTGGAATAATTTATAATTTATAATTATTATTTCTCATAATTATATATTTTTTTATAAAAGATAATATTTTCTATATTATCAAAATAAATTATTTTTTAATAAATTTGTTATATTAAATTAATATTTATTTATAATAATTAAATTATTTCTAATTTGCAAAAAAAATACAATATAAATAAAATTATTATAAAAAAAATATACTTATAAAATTATTATTGAAATAAAACTTGAACAAATTTAACATACTTAAAAGTAAAAATACGTTGCTGAAGCAGAAAAAAAAATATATATATATATATATATATATATATATATATTTATATAATGTGAATCAATATTACTTATTCTATAAATTTCAAATGTAATCAATATTTTCATTTTAAAAATGTCATAATGTGAAGCTAAAATGAAATGAGAACTCCTTGAATTAAAAGACCCATTTAATTAATGAAACTCGTCCTAACTCTAAGCAATTAACATCAGAAACTTCGCAATTAAACTCCTGGGAACGAAATGCCTAATCAATTAAATAATGAAATTCTTAACCCTAACCGTACAACTCCTAACCCTAATTAATTAATGAAATAAACCAGGGAGCATACTAAAATAAAAACCTCCTAGGATTGATTGGAGAATTATTATATTCTATAACATATTCCCAAAATCCCAAAGATATATACATAAGATATTCCGAAAATCAAATTAAACACTTACGACGTGGAAAAGAAATAAAATAAAAACTGCCCGAATCTAATTTTTCAATATGTAAATATTTTTTTACATTCAATTTTTTTAAAGATCTTATAGATAATTTAAAATATTTAATTGATTGATTAAGAGAATCAAGATAAAATAATAATATAAAAATTTAAAATGAGTGGTTAAATAGAAAAATGGGTCGGGAAAATATCATAACCCTGATATTTACTTCATACACCCATGACTTGCTTTAACATGAAAACCTGATGGGGAACCACCTTTTTCCATAAAAAAAATGTTAACAACCTTTTGTGTCTTTACTTGTAAAAAAATAATATTAAATTGTTTATAGTAATTAATTTTATATTTAAAAACAATCAACTTGTTGTAAAACAGAAAGTTAACATTTTATCATAGTAAACTTTGTAACTAGCTCATATGATAAAAAAAACTTTTATAGAAAAATATATTTTATAACTTCTGATCATTCTACCAAATATCAAGTACATGTAATTTGACATCATAATTTTACACTGTGTTCTACACTTCTAATTGATAATAACAAATGTAAAATTGAGAAGTTGAGTTTGTTTTTCAAGTTTTTTTAGTCTCCTTAGCTTCCCTGTTCCGAATCACTATATCAACTTATCACTACAGTCTAATCTTTCTAAATATATATCAGATTAGTAAGTTGGCACCCCTTATTCATCCTATTTTTCTTGATCTATTCAGGTTGTTCCACTTCTGATGCTGAACTGGACTTCTCAAACTCAATTCTACAATCAAGACTCAAAACATCATGCAGTTTTCGTTGTGTGTCTGCAATATGAAAAAGATCAAAGTTCTAGTTTAGGTAGGGAATAAACCGGTATCTCTTTTATACATAAAAGAAGAAGAATCAACAAAAATATGTTAAAATGCAAACCTCTTGTTAAACTTGACTGGGGAGATGGAATCTTTCTCAGCAGCTTCTGGCACATGACGGTTTCCTGAAAATCTAAGAAAGCACAGTCCGAGAACTGTGACCTATCAAAATTTGTCATCTGTGCAAAGCCAAAAGATTTGGTCCAAGTTTCTAGCACAACAGGAACGGCAGGCAACACTAGCCTCTCCACTCCCAGTTGCATGAGGTTCTGATAAAAGAAAATTTCAAGTTAGAAAATGGTCCCTAGCTTAAGAAAATTTGAACTTTTTTTATATAGCCGCTATTACTAATTTCAACACGGGCAGATTCTACCTAGAAAAGAAATTAACATAGAGCTCAAGCTAAACTGCTAATGCATTAAGAATGAACTAAAATGCAGTTGACAGGGAAATATCCTAATGGAGAGAAGTGAGGGAGGGTAAGATTGAGGAGAATATTTTGCAGCATCCATGGTGGTAGGAGAAAGAGGATAAATGCATTTAGAGTTGCTAAATTGAAAATTGTGCCCCTTTAGACGCAAAGGAAATTTTTTTCCCTTCTTTATAGCATTTACTGGATTACCCAAAATGGACATTGCAACTTGAGAAGCTGATATATGAAATATTTAGTTATAGGATAAGAGATTGGATCCATATTGGTGATAGCTTCACTTAAATTCCTTCAGAAAACAATGCATCAGGGATTTTGTTAAAGAAATAGGCAAATGAACATACATTTGCATGCTTATTATGTTACCTTCTCAAGCTCATTCATTAAAATGCGACACATTCCAAGTCGACGATATTGTATTCTGGTACCTACAAGCGGTACCTCAGCTACTTTCTGTCCAAACACCCTATAAAATGAAATGGCAATTCAGAAGACCATAAAATGACGAGTATATAACAGGAAATGAAATCATATTTAATGCAATCCTATAATCACCTAATAGTTGCTACACTAATCAATTCTTCATTTTGCTCCAGAAGTACAGTGTAGAAACCCTGGAAATTCAATCGATTCAGCTCTGACCTACAAATTTCCAAAACACAGATTCAGGCATTGGCCCTGAGGATATAACAAATCGTGAACATTGACAATGTAAACTTGAGAACAAATCCATCATTAAATCCTTGCTTTAGTCTTAAAAACACTAGCTAACTATTCACAATGTCATCCGTGTGCATAGGGTTCCACAATGAGCAAGAGCAGAAGCATAGTTTAAATCACATACATAAGCAAAACTTGCAATTTTAGTTGAAAATTATGGTCCATGTAGAAATGTGCGTAGGAATATGCATAGAATTTTAGTTGCAATTCTAATGTATCTATCTAATGCGTATAAAGAAATTTTTTATGAGATAGCTGGTTTATCAGACAATCCACAATACATCAGCGAGATAGCTGGTTTACTCTTGTGTTACCTGATCATAACTATGGTATAATGGATAGAGTAAAATTATATTAAAAAAAAATCTCGTCAATTTTAGTGAAATGCATATATTTAATGGCTATTAATTTTAGGTTAGAGCCGAAAATGTAAATAACCAGAACTCTATCAGTCAGACCCTATTTGAAGATTTTTTTTTTAAATTATGGTGACCTAAGCCACAGCTATTTACTCTTGAAACAAGTTTCCAGCTAAAATAGAAATATGATGAATGGGATCTAAGCCAAAGATTTACATATTCAACTCAGCATGCTATAAGAAAGAATTATGAGCATGACAGAAACACAATATGCAAATAATTTTTTAAATATAACGAATATGAATAAAAGGATAATAATTTCGGACCTAGAGTTGAAAATAACATCATCAATGATATCTCTACCAGTGAGAGGGTTCTTTAGGGGTTCAAAACACTCATGCATCACCGAAAGTGCAACACTGAGTTTGCTGTATTTCTCTGGCAACAAGTCATTCTCAGAACTGCCAACATCACGACCCTCGAAGTTGTTAAACTTCACCAATGTCCAAGTTAGATTGTTCGAACCCACTATAAGTGGCTTTCCTAATAGACTTTGGAGGCCTGCATATATCTGCAAAAAATATACAAAAGTAAATGTTACTAGCAGCACATAATGAAGACACTGAGCCTTAAATGTTCCATTAGCCTTAAATTTGAACGTGTTCTTCTTGTCATGTTAACTAGAAATACAATATGGGGAAGTAATTGACAAAATTCAATTTTGTTTTGATAAAAATAGGGTGAAGTAATGCTTTCAAGGAATGTAAAATCACAATAAATAGAAAAGGAGAAAAGGAAAGAAAAGAAAGCTTGAAAGGAGATAAAGCAGATTAATTAACTCCATCAAATTATATTAAAATTCTCCTAATTATAGAAGAAAAAAGGGAGGTGGATTTAATGTACCTGTTCACACTCTTTTCCACACAACCAATTTTCCATATATCTTCCTGACTGATCTTCGTCTCTGTTTTTCAAGCATCCAACGTGATCTACATAGAGTTGACAAAGATAGCATAAATATTACACCATTGACCAACATGTGCTGTCATTCACAAAAACAAACTCAAAAGGAATTTTATAAATTTTGAACCAAATATGCAAATCCGCTTACATTTATGTTCACATTGAATGCAAGTAAGAAAAAGTACATCCTCAGACCCTTCTGTTTTGGTTTGGTTGCAAATCCCGCAACAACATGATGGGCAAAACCAGTCACCATGAGGGATATCCTGCACATGTAGAGGAAAATCAGCCCAATGCAAGACCAGTTTATTCATATATGAAAGTAATGAATTGAAGTAACCACAAATTAGAAAAAGAAAGGAAATAGAACACAATGATAGCACTTAATTGGCATTATCGAGAAGGAAAACAGTTAACATACCTCCAAACCAAGACACGTCCTATGAAATGCGGATGGACACTGGTCACATAAAATAAGTTCACCGCCATATTGACAGACAGAGCATATGTCATCATTTTCTCCTTTAAACAGAGCATTGCATGGTCTGTTCATATCTTCCCTTGTTCTACTATCGTGCATTACTTTTATCATGCAATCTAAGAGTGACCTACCATTCTTCAAAAATATTCTAGCAGAAGTCCTGCAGTCAGCACTTCCACCTGCATGATTTACAAAGCCCCCAAGACCATATATTTTCTTGCAACAGCTACACTTGATTCCATCATAAGTAATTCTCCCCTCAGCCACATCAGTGTTACTGCCTCCTTCTGCCCGGTAATAGACCTTACATCTTGGCATCAGCACGCCGCTATCTATTAACCAAGACAGAACATTTTGAGGTCGTTGGTGTGACAGACTTGAGGTAGACACCTTCTGCACCCTTTTGCTTGATCTTAGACATTCTGTAGATGACCCTTTGATGTGGCCCTTTGGCATGGTGCCCTTTGAATCCCTGGTGTGTTTGCGGTTTCTATTCTCATTTGATATACTAGCTGGTGAAGCAGTATGCAACTCAGGTTCTTTTTGAAGAAATTGGGACAATGTTTGCATTAGATCATCGCTATCAACATGGCCAACACTTTTCTCATTTGGAGGACAAACATCTACATCCTGGTCGTTTGGGGGTTGATCTAAAAGCATATGTGAAGGATTAGTGTCATTTGCAGAATGAATCCTACTCTGATCAACTTGGGGCTGCACAGTGTTCATATTGGACTCCAGTTGCATATGTGTCAAAACTTGAATAATTGAAGTGTAAAACTTATCGTCCTGTGCATCAGGTGACTTGTATCTGTAGCGTCCACGTCCAGGAAAATATCTATCTTCTGTCCACTCAATTTTCCATCCAAGATATGCTAGATGTTTCCATACTTTTGTCTTCAAAAGTTCCCTAATCGTCTTGCTACCACATCCAAGCAAATACTGGTTAATAACATCAGGACAGAATTCAACCTTGGTCACTACCAGAGGTTTCCAACGAGTGGACACTGAGCGTCTACGTTTTCTCTTCTTTGAACAAGAGCTAGCACCTGACTTTACTTCACTAGCATCAGGCATGATCTCTTGAACAGGAGATACAGGTTCCTCCTGCAAAATAATTTTCTTCTCATATCCCCCGTCCGTCAAGGGATCTTTATCATATTCCTCTTGAAAGCAAATGATGTTACAACCCTTTTTATTGGAATCCAACAAGTTTGATTCGCCACCATTTTCCATAAGGCTATCAGAAACTCCAATGTCAGAACCAAATACATTAGAGTGTCCAGCATGACAATGAATGTTGTCAGTATGTTCCACTGAGTTCGGCTCTGGTGTTTCTTTCAAGAAATCCTCTGGAAGGTTTAAAGCTGGGAAAATTTCTTCTAGTGTGAGAACATAGTAGTCACCAACCACCTCCACTACAAGGGCTCTCCACAAGTCCTTCTCATTACAAGTCCAATGTTTTATATTGTCAAAATCATTTCTGACCCTTATATCATACCAAATTTGCTTCACTGAAACTGCAACAAAGGATTCCTTTTCACACTCCTGAACTACTTCAAGGAACACCCACTTCCCCCGTACCTTCCAATTCTCAGTAGCTTCATCCCAATCCTGTGTTATCCGTAATTGATGAGTTTCAACCTTCATTTCATCACCCAAATCCGGGAAGAACACGCTCCTCTCCTCCATTCCGTTGCAGTGATCAAATATAACGCCTTCCCACCAGCCTTCTTGATAATTTACATCGACACAGAGACCAAATGGAAGGTCCTTCTCCCCAAACTCAAGCGGAGGAGGCAGTGGTCTGATGAATCCATGTTCATTGCTATAATCTGAAGAAGAACTATAACCATCCAAAACAGCTGAAACATACACCACATCAACAAGGTATTTTGATCCATCATCATCTAGAATGTTGTCATATTTTACATAACGCTTCTGCTTCTCGCAACGGACCACCGTCCCCGGGTGCCATGAACCCAGAAAACCCTCCTCCATACTTTTTACCTGAGAATAAAATAAAATCAGATTAAAAACATAGTTTAATTTATTGAACTGGAAATTTCAGATGAAGGCATCACCGCATTCACGTTCATAACAGAGTACTGATTAAAACACACAAGATACAACGAGGAAAAAAAAAAAAGTACCAGGACTCTCACACAATGGCAATGAGAAAAAATGATCAGAACTTGCACATAACATTGAGTCCACGTGATGTTACCATGAACTGTGCCTCATTTCATTTTTCATCATTTGCATGAACGGCTCATGAGAATTCAAAGCAATCCGTGAATTAGGTTTCAACCAAGAAAACAAAAATTAGAGTGGGTAAAATCGTGAAAAAGTATCAAAACCAAAAATTGACTACAAAACACCAAAGGATCATAAACATAAACAAAAAACACAAACACACAAAAAATAATACAAAACTCATGAAAACACAAGCGCTGGATACCTAACAAACGAAAAACAAAACAATTGAGCAATTCATCACCAATGAAAACCCAGAAATCCATAAACCAAAAAGATTATATCTTTACAAAAGAAACAAATAGAGGAATTAGACACGGCATTACCTCGACTTTCTCATTGACGAAAAGCTTTTTTTTCCTCGACCCTCGTTTACGTTTGGTGCTCTCATAACGCTTCTCACCATCCATTGGAGAATGATTCTGAGACATGGTTACATACAGACAACTGAAAATGCCTGACAACCTTCTCAGAGAGACCTCGAGAACGAGTCAAAACCAGTAAGACAAACAAAAAGACAACAATTCTCTACCATGAAACAATCCCAATCCTGGTACCCTTACCACCCTCCATGCTTTCTTATGGGGAAGGAGAAACACTCACTTCAGTCCCTTTTGTTCCCACTGTTCTGTTGTTGTTGCATATGCTGCGTTTAGTTTTTATCTTTCACCCACTTATAATCAGACCGGTAATTCCCTATTCCTCCTTGTTCACATTGTGCTTTCTTCTCATTGGCCCACGCTGGCACTCATTATTTTTTGTTATCTAATATCATTTTTGTATTGCAGGTAGAAACTATTTTAAGGAAGTGGTTCCGTTAGCACACTATTACTAGTGCTGTTAATAGGTTTGAGAATAGAAGTTAAAAAGTTTGCTGTATAGTGTGGGAGGGTTCACCATAAGTGAACGCTAAGTCACGTGGCATGAAGAGTTAGGGGATAGACCTAATTTAACCCTAAACAAAATATTTTTAATATATTTATCTACTCATTATATAATATAATAAAAATATATATTGAATTAATGTATTATATTGATTTATATAATAAAATTAAATGAGTATTAAATGATATTGAAGTGAATGAAAACAATAAGAGAAAAAATTTAGGATGGATCAACCTGCATTCGTTATAGTAGTATTTATGTATATTTGTTTGTATACATTCTTGTTCACATCATATTATAAATGATATTTATCAATAAGTTCTTAATGTTATTTATGTATATCTTTTTTTATACATCACACAGTTAAAAATTACTTGAAAGTTTTTATTATTATTGTTCTTATAATATAAATTACCGAATTAAAATATTATTGAAATTTACAAACTAATGCATTAAAAATTTATTTTTTATATATCTCAATAAAAATAAATACATTTTAAACTTTTAAAGAAATCTAAGACCTTAATTTAAATATAATTTAAAAAATAGTAACTGTGAGATTATTAATTTTATAACTATTATTTTAAAATTAATATTTAAACCGATTTCTAAGAAATTCACCCTCTCAATTTTGACATTGATAATATATACTAAATTAAATTCTTTTAAGATATTTTGTAATTAGATAGTGATATGAAAAATCTTTGAATGTGTTACACCTAAAATATCTAAAATTTAAAAATAAATAAATAATTTGATAAAGTAGTCAATAATTTTCAATGAGAATTTGATTAATATGTATAGAGGATTGCAATTATTATATTGTTTATAGTAGGTTATAAATTCTGTAATTATTATTCTAAAAGTCATATTTTTAATTATTTTACCATATAAAAATCTTAACACTGTTGGTATATTAAAATTAACCTATTTTTTAAAGATAATAACAGACAAATTTATTACAAACCAGATCATAACAGGATAGTAATAAATTATTTTCAGGTAATGTAATTAAAATAATTATATTTTATACTAAAAAGAAAATACAAATTTAATAAAATTAATAGATTAATTATTTGTGATGATTATTCTTTTGTAATTATTAATATATATATATATATATATATAATAGAATTATTAATTTTGCAATTATTGATTTAAAAGTCGTGTTAAAAATCAATTATAGGAAATTGACTATGCACAAAATATGAATATTGGTGATATATTAAAATTAAATTATTTTTAATTCATAGTTAGAAGTAATATAAGTTATTTGAATGTATTTCAGTTGACATATTTACTATTAGAAAATATTCAGATTTAACCGTTTTCATAATTTTGATTAAATTCTACCCAGAATAATGAACAATTTGGTTAGAAAAAAAAACTCATTTAAGAGTCATACATAACTTAAAATAAAAAACAATAATTATTTTAATGTAAAAAAATGTGGAAACATTTTTAAATATGTCAAATTTTATATCATTCAAATTTCATAACATTTGGTGTAAAACTAAGTCAGTTCATTTTTTTTTCTTTTTTTTTCTTCAATTATGATACTGGTGACGTTTTTAAATTAAATTAAACTATTTTATAAAATTATAGGTTATTTTTTAAATATTTATAAATAAGTTTTTTAAAATATATTAATTTTTTAGTACTCAAAACTGAATTTTATAGTATTGTTTCTTATTATATTATTGTTTTTACACTACCACATAAAGTCTGTTTGCATGTTCTCTCACATAAGACGAAGACACAGTTTCGTTGTCATTTATTAAAAGAGTGCATGATTTAATACGGGAGGGTGCACGGCCAGAAGAGAACACATGTCACAATTAATTACTTCCCCTACTATATATAATTTTTTAAAAATATTTTTTTATCAAAATAATTATAATTTAAATTTTAAGATTAAATTAGGTATGATGAGCACATTAACCTATTTACGTGGCTAACAGCCCTCACAACTCGAATATAACAACATAATTATCGCGTATTGAGCTAAACACAATTATCAAGAGCGCCTTCTACTATTGAGTTAATAGTCCTAATAGTCCTTCGTGCGAATTTTCCGTCGGACCCGTTATGCCAAAAAGAGAAATCATTTTTTTTTTTTATGTCATCCGAGATAGATTAAGTAAAATAATTGAGTTTATTAGGACCAGTTTAGATTTTTCCCAATTAAAAAAAAAGTGAGATACAAATATGTAGAAAAGATGATGATGAGTATTATAATTCTTACTGTGTATCTAATTTTATATTTAAATTTAAATTTTAAAAATAAATTTTTATGAATTTTTTATTTTTTTTCTATTCATTTTTTAATTTTTTTATTTTTTTATATCAATTAGTTCGTTATATTATTTTTATTCTTTTATCTTTTATTTTTCACGTTTTCTTAATATTTTTAATTAATTTAATTTTTTTTTCAATCTTTTTAATCAATTTAACCAACATAAAATTAATTTTTTCCTTTATTTTTTTTTAATATTTTATATAAAACTTAGTAATAATTAATATTATTTTATTTATAATTTATCTTTATTATATTTTACTATGTCATTTTTTTATTTTTTTTATTTTTATTTATCATATATCAATTTTTATCTAAATAAAATAATTATATTTTAAAAAATTAAAAAAATAATTTAAACTTTTATTATTTTGAACTAATTAAATAAAAATTAACTTATTAAATATTTTTTTATAATATCTTATTTTTAAATAACAACTTAAAAAAAATTAATGTACATATATAATTAAATATTTGAATATATAATAATAATAATAATATTTTATATTTATATAAAGAAAAATAATTAAATATTTTTTATATACATATTTTAATATAAATATAATAAATTAAAATATATATTTAATTAAAAATAATTATAAATTATAAATATTTATTTATATATAAAAAATACATCAAAATATAAAAATTAATTTATTATAATTATAATTATTTTTTAAAAATAATATAGATAGAGAGAAAGACAAAAAACTTGAAAAATAAGACTTAATTTTTAACTTTTACAATAATCTAAAACATTTAAAAAATTATGAGACCAAAGACAAATTCACCTGCTGCCATGCCATTCTAGACCATAAAATAAGTGAGAATATGACACTATATATTTATAAAATAATAATTATGTTCTAAATAAAAATATTATATATATATATATAATAAATTAATTAAATAAGAAATGTATTTTGTTTTCAACGGTAAATATAAAAAAAATCTTTAATATTTATTGATTTCATGATTTAATAATTAAGATTAACTACTATTTTATATCTATAAATCATTGAAAAAATAAATTATGATAATAAAAAGTAAGTTTATTTTGAAACTAAATAAATATTTTATTATATATTAAATTATTATACTTGAAATAAAAATTAATTTTATTAATATAATTTAAAATTTAAAAATATGTTTTATTCTATTTAAATACTTTTTAATTATTTATTTTGATATAAATATATTAATAAAAAAATTAATATAGATCTAAACTTGATAAAATTAAAATTAATTTAAAAATATAAGTTAGATTGGATCATTAATTTGTTTATTTGACTCATAAGATTAAGTCAAATTAGACTGTATCGACTGTTCCAATAATCTTAAAATTAATAATAAAAAAAATAAAATAAAAAATAAAAAATCAAATAAAGTAATTAAAAAAAGTGTCATAAATAATTTTTTTTATAAACATAAAAAATATCAATGATAAGATTAAAAGATACAATAAATAATTATAAGGAAGATATTTTTATTTTGACAAAATTAATTTGTTTTCTCTTTCTGAATTTAACAATAAAAATATAAATTTAAGAATTTTTGTAAGGTTTGCTTTGCTTGTAATTAAATAAATAAAAAAGTTAAAAATTATAAATAAAGCTAATTGACCCAAATATTTAAAATCAATAAATTAAAATTCATGCTTTAGTACAAGCCTATTATGCAAATACATATAATAAGCTTAGTCTATCCCATCTCCCAGAAAAGAGTTACATCGCAATATTTAATGAACCCTTCTAATAAATACTCATTTTACATTAAAAAATTAATTAAATTAGTTTATGATTAATTTGAAACATTTGATGTCTTTCTACAAAATGTTAACCAACTTATTATCTTACCTGAAAAATCAACTTATTATCTTAAGTGTAAAATCAGTGATGGGTCAAAATCTTTTTTCTAAAAGATTTTCACTCAAACAACACTTTGGCTGATCTACAAAAAATAAGACATGAAATATAATTTAAGTATAACAGTTTTCACTAAAGTAAAAGTAAAATCCGAAATCAAAACTAAATTATGATAGTTTTTACTTACACGAAAAGGTTTTCACTCAAATATTAAAATATTTAACTTATTAAGTGAAGATCATGATATTCACTATGTTACATTAACACGATAAAAATTTAAATTTTTAAAAAAGTGACACTCAAGAAGGAAATATTATCGACATTCTAAAGTTTATAATATAACATTTTAAATTTTTTTAAAATAAAAACATAATTTGATAAACTTGTGTTAATTATGAGATTAATAAATATTATACAATACGTAAAATAATGCACAGAATCTTTTAAGTAATGTGAAATAATAATTTAAAAAATTATTATTTACGGAGATATGCAATAATAATTATAAGAATGTATTGCCATTAAGATTGTTATGATATGAAATATGAAATACTGTTATAATATGAATATTGTTATAATATGAATATTAAGTAAATTGGTATATAGATAAAATATTTCTGTTTTTAATAACAACTCAAATTACATAGATAAGGCAAAAAATCATAGAAATATATATTACTATATTTATAATATGACTTTAAGTCATTATAAATATACAAAGTTACTAAAAGTTATTCTACCAAATACATGTTCAATCAAGAATTAGAATTATATTTTAAAATTTTATACTAAATGTATTTGAACGTGTGTTCGAATAGAAATATAATTATAAATCAATTCTTACTAAATATATTTAAATGCTAACCGGTATTATTTTAAGATTTTATCACTCGATATAATATAACCATTTATAAATGGTTTAAATTTATGATTGTTAGATTAAATAAAATCGATTTAGGTTAATATATGTTGAAGAAGACTAAACAGTGCATAAAATCTGCATTATATAATTGATCTATGACCTAAATATTAAAGATAATTTTATTTTAGAAAGTAAAACAAATAAAAGTAATAAAATAATTATGATGCTCTTTCTCCAATGTTTTTTTGTATATATATAATTAATTAATTAAAAAAATCAAACTTACTTCACTTCACAATCATCTCTTGTATGTTTTTTATTTTAACAAATAGCATTAATCTCTTATATATTTTTAACATGTAACATTCAATTCCCTTATTACATTTAAAAACATCATATTTGAAAATTTAAATATAAATTATGGAAATTAGAAAATAATATTTTAAAATATAAAAGTTTCAATTTTATTATAAAAAATAATTTTTTTTATAGAGGAAATAAAGAAGATGAGTTTTAATTATTAAGAATGTTAGAATGCGAATGTTTGTTTCAAAATTATAAAAAGTGTGAGTGTCATTTTATTAAAAGTAAAAATATGAGAATAGTGAATGTTTATTTGAATATTAGAGAATATGTAAATATTAGTTAATAGATAAGAAAGTATTGTAGTTTGTAAAACGAAAATAAATGAAACCCAATATAAAACCTTATAATTATGCATCATATTTTAAGTCAGCAAAACAGCATTATGCCGTATGTTAAATATTTGTGGGAATATTTGTGCACTATATCTAATCATAAATTATTTTATAATAATAACTATATTAAATTTTTATTGATAACTATGCATATATGTTAAACTTTTTTTTTCAAAATAATTTAAGCTAAAAATAACGTATAGACTATAAATTTTGTGGAGATATCAATTTTTATTTCGTATTAGTTGTTTTCAATTTGATTAATGCAGTGTATTATACATCATTATGCCGAAATTAAATTAGAATTATATATTGATTAATGCAGTGTATTATACATCATTATGCCGAAATTAAATTAGAATTATATATTGTATATGAGAAATAATTAAAATATTATATTTTCAAGTCTTATGTTAGAATATGATCGTAATTTTATATTGATAACAGAATGAGACAATAAAATTAACAATAGTTAAACTTATTTCAACTAATCCAAAACTTTAGATACGAGAACGAGATTAAATTAGGAAAAAAAATAGTATGAAAATCAACGGAATATTCGAGTTTAATATTTATGTATTGTTTGGATAAAATATGTAAGTTTAAACTTATTATATATTTTTTAAGTAATTAATAACCAATTTCTTTAATAGAGATGAAATTAATCATAGTAATCCAAAACTTTTCATATATAATAATTCATAACAATCTATAATTCTATCAAATAGTATTCACATCGGCTCCAAAATCAAATTTTATTATAATTCTTATGATTGAGTTGAAAAAAAAATGGTGTAATTTTCTTTTAAATAAATTTCAATGCCGTATTTAAATTAATGTAATAATAGTTTGTAGGTTATTTTATCAAAAGAGTTGTGAAGAAGCACGTGTGAGTGCACGTGGCAGAACACATAACATTTTATTTTACAATAGCAGCCACCGTTGTGCAATTGCTCATACATGGGTGCATCATCATCGAAACACGTGACTAAAACGTCAACGCTCCCATTCCGCGAAGGCAGCCTCTTTCATCAGTCAAGTCAAATTAATCCATCCAAACCCAAATCATTGGAACCTTTTTTTTCTTCTTCTTCTTCTTTCTTTCTTTTCTAATGATCTCACAGATCCCCGAAACACAGTAATCAGTTAGTTAGTTTTACACGTTCGCCATGTCCTGGTTCCGACACCTCTCCTCCAAAACGCACCGCTTCACTTCTCTCTCCCGGTTCAGCACCTCCACGGTCCCGGTTCGCCATGCGGGTTTGGGTCCCACGAAGGCCCACGAAAAGCCCCGCGTGGTGGTGCTGGGCTCCGGGTGGGCTGGATGCCGGCTTATGAAGGGCCTGGACCCTAAAATCTACGACATCGTTTGCGTGTCCCCGCGCAACCACATGGTGTTCACGCCTCTCTTGGCTTCCACGTGCGTCGGAACGCTCGAGTTCAGAACCGTTGCCGAACCCATCGCCAGGATCCAACCCACCATTTCCCGGGAACCTGGCTCTTATTTCTTCCTCGCCAATTGTACTGCCATTGATGCTCCCAACCATGTCGTATGTTATCTGCTTTTCTTCCTATTGTACTGCCACTGATTGAGTTAAATGTCATTAAATTGATGTGATTCGGTTTGTTACTTGATAATGGGCACGTGCGGAGTGTGGACAACATCCATCACATCCTTTTCTTGATTTGTATACCTTTCTGTAACTTTTGATCTGTAGGGATTCTTTCTATACAACTATTTATTCAGGGATTTAGCAAAGCCTTAAGATGACATATTTGGTTGTGCAACCTTGATACAAACTCTATCAGAACACAAACAACAAAATTCACAACCAACATAGGGTGAAGAGTGCTAGTAGCACACTTTCTTTTATTGGGTAAAATTTTATTGAGAACTACAAAATTGAAAAATCATTGTTAAATAAGATTTGGGATTCACTAATTTTTGTGATTTTCAATTAACTTCAACCAATAGTTAAAAAATGTTAAAGAGTATGTTTCTAAGAGAAATATGTAGTAGTAGTAGAAACGAAAATAAAGAAAATGTCTGCTCTTTTTCCATTGTCCACTCTTTTACCTTTTCCATTTTACATGAGGTATACGGAATGCGTAGATGATCTTGTTTTAGGGGATGAAGCAGTGTGTTCTGTTTCTGCGTCGAAGTTTTTCCCAATTTTGTTGAAACTGGAAGTAATTTATTCGAATTTTGAAATTATTAGACGGTACCTTACCTTTTTTGTAAATGGATTTATTGAAATATTGCAATATAAAGTAATAATCAACAGTGTTGTCGGAATCGAAACCCTATCTAGTAAGATAAAGTTTGTTATTATTTTGTTGGAATTAAAATTATCAAAGCAACCCCTGGAACCTGAAGCCCCAAGGAAAATTCAATTTCATGCCCTTTTCTTACTCTTTCTTTTCTTCCTCTTAACAAAATGGCATCATACTAGTAGTTGAAATATGGACACTGACAATGTGGCTTATTCTAGGAGAATTACTTGTATTAATTGAAATATTGGTACTCACAATGTGGCTTAATTGGGGAGAATCTGGCAAAATGGTTTTGAAGGTGCAATGTGAGTCTGTAACTGAAGGAACGCGGACATTAGATCCTTGGAAGTTTACTATTTCATATGATAAGCTGGTAATTGCACTAGGTGCACAACCTACCACTTTTGGAATTCATGGAGTCTATGAGCATGCGATTTTTCTTCGTGAAGTTTACCATGCACAAGAAATTCGTCGGAAGTTGCTTCTGAACTTAATGATGTCTGATGTTCCAGGTTTATGACAATTTTGATATTTTAGGTTAACGAGTCACTTGAAAAAAATGATTAGTATACATCACCTATACGATCTGTATTTGATTGGATGCAGGGATTGGAGAAGAGGAGAAAAAGAGGCTGCTACACTGTGTGGTTGTGGGAGGCGGTCCCACTGGAGTTGAATTCAGCGGTGAACTTAGTGATTTTATCGTAAGAGATGTCCGTGAGAGATATTCTCATGTGAAGGACTACATCCACGTTACTTTAATTGAGGTATGCTTAGTACCATTAGATTTGTGATACGACCGAATAGACTAGATTTTTCAATGGCCTATCGCAACAAACCTATTGCTCTTTCCATTGTATATCCTTATCTCTTACAAATTACAATTATTGCCGGCGTAATGGTCAGATACACCTATTATCATCTTTCTTCATGCCATTTTTTTTAAGGTAATTAGTATGCTAACCAATTTATTCATGCCACTTTAGGCCAATGAGATCCTGTCTTCCTTTGATGTCCGACTCAGGCAATATGCCACCAAGCAATTGACAAAGGTGAGCTATATGTCAAAAATAGCTTCTATTCTGATTGTTCAATCTGTTCCTTCTGATTTCAAACTTCTGAATATCATAATAAAAGAAACAAAGAACAATTAAACTCAGCTTTCCATTTAAAGAAATGTAGTAGTCTATTAGTAATTACTATGGTATTAAATATAATCACGATACAGTGTTTCTAACAGCCATATTTGGAATCATATAATTAATTGATGGGACTCTTCCTGTAGTATAATAAGTATGAAAATGGATTGGCAGGCTAGCTGTTAAAAATTTTCAGTATTAGTTTTATATCTCCTCACATTGAAGTTTCTATCAGTCAGGAGTCCAACTTGTCCGCGGCATTGTGAAAGATGTCAAGGAGAAGAAGATTATCCTAAACGATGGCACCGAGGTTCCATATGGGTTGCTGGTATGGTCTACTGGAGTTGGTCCATCAGCTTTTGTTCAGTCTTTGGATTTCCCTAAATCTCATGGTGGAAGGTTGTTCTTTGTTACTTAACATAGTTGCAATTATTTTCTTTCCATTGACAGCCGTTTCAATTTTACAAATGGGGAGCTGATTTATGAGTAGATATGATCTGTCTTACCAAGAAGGCAGGGTTACTTTTGTCCAAAGATATCACTCATTGCATGCATGCATTTATTTTAAGACAACGTAGTAAGGCATAGATCAAAATGCAATAAATAACTTGTCATGAAGTTTTCAATTTAAGGTTGCATTTGAAAGTTTATTTCAGGCATGTCTTTCTTATAAAGTTTCATATGAATCCGTTTTTTTGTAATATATAATTTTCAAATATAAGAAAATATCAATAATTTTATTACCTACAATCTTTTAATCTTCCAAAAATTGGCATGAAATGAAATCATTATGTAAAAAACATATATATCAATGTTTGGATTCAGCAGGTAGTTATATACTGTAAAGTATGTAAAGGCTGAGGTGTAAACCGATACATACTCGTAGTTACATTTTACTATCCTGGTCATTTGTCCATCGTAAGCCTTTTTTAGATGTATCAGGTTTCCTCGCGTTCGACACACATTTGATGTGCCATGTTTTCTGTTCTCTCGTTTCTTTCATTTCATGGTAACTGTAACTATAGATTACTGTATTTCCATAATGTGTATTGTTAAAGTCTCTCTTATTCACAGGATTGGCACTGATGAGTGGCTTCGTGTTCCTACAGTAGAGGATATCTTCTCAATAGGTGACTGCAGTGGATTTTTGGAAAGTACTGGAAAACAACCGCTACCGGCTTTAGCCCAAGTAAGTGGCATTGGATTCATTAGTTTCTCCACATACAATTCATATCTTCAACTCCAGCAATTTGTAGTTCTGATTTTTTAATAAGGTCTTTGTCCCCGACATATTTCATTCTGAATGTGCTACTATATTTACTGTTATTGGTTCATGAATGAAGTTATGTTGGATTTTTCATCTGTGCCTTTTTCAAGCTTATTCTTACCAGTTTGATGCATTACCATTTGAATTGAACCATAGGTAGCAGAAAGGCAAGGTAAATATTTAGCAATCTTGCTAAACAAAATAGGTAAAGCAAATGGAGGACGTGCAAACAGTGCAAAGGACTTAGACTTTGGGGATCAATTTGTTTATAAGCATCTTGGAAGCATGGCATCTATAGGGAGTTACAAGGCTCTAGTGGACCTCAGACAGAGCAAGGTGACTTTAATTCCTGCGCTTTTACTGGTGCTTTAAAAACTTATGGTTTGATTCATGCACTTAAACTCGTACAGGAGACCAAAGGGTTATCTCTAGCAGGTTTTGTCAGCTGGTTTATTTGGCGCTCTGCATATCTAACTCGTGTCATCAGTTGGAGGAACAGGTTTTATGTAGCTATCAACTGGGCTACTACTTTTGTGTTTGGCCGTGATATAAGCAGAATATGAAATTTTTGTAAGGTAAATACTCTGCGAGAAATTTTTATGAACACTTAGAAATGTTAATAGGCCCTTTCAATACTTATCTTTATTGGTTGCGTTGCAGACTAATAGTGAAAACAATAAGTGCATTTAATTGGATCATTTTGGAGCAGCATGTTTCAAAAGCCAGTAATATCTCAGGAGATGAATTTCAATAAGATGAACATCATGGAACTTCACTAGTTCATGACATTGGCTAAACGTTCAATTCATTTAAGACTGTAGCAACCAAAAGGAGATTACTCGGGCATTGTCTTGAAAGGGGAAGGCAATAGATTAAATTTGGCTGCCTATGGTCTTTTAATGGAGGATATACACGTCATGATTCCATTGCAGCATCTGGTAATATTGATTATTGGGCAGTAATAAACCAAATTTAATGTTTAGACGATTCCCCAATTGTATGATCACATTGGACAATAATAATATATTGTAAACGGATTCTCTGGGTGTATAAAATCCTTTACAAAAGCAGAGATATAAATGAAAATTAATGAAATTTACACCAAACAAATTACTTACAAGATCACCACCGCTAACCTAAATGGATAGTTATCACATCATGTCATGAGTTATTATGTCTTTATATTATAACGGTTTATTTATTTATTTCTGTTATTCAATTTGATTCTATTATTAATATTCAATCAAATCTCTTAATTTTAAAAACGTAACAATTTTACCACTTTTGGTTTAATCAGCAGAAAGATAGTTAACAGATAAATAGACAGTTTTAATTTATATACAATACATTTTTTAAATATTGAAAAACGTGATTGAAGCCTAAAAAAAAATTACATTTTTAAAATGAAACAACTCGATTATATATTTATTAATAGGAAGGCCAAATTTAACAAAAATAAATTAATAATAGAATAGTTAAAAGTGATTAAAGCCAATTACACAATTGATCATTGCATAGCGTAATTTCTCTGATATATTGTCTAATTGCTTAGAAAGTTACTTAGAAAAGTTATTTATACATAAAAAAATATTATTTTAATGTAAATCTTATACAATTATTTAAAATTAATAATAGTTATTTATATAAATAATTCTTAGAAATTTGAAATAACCCCGTGAAAGAAACCGATATTAAAATAATACTATTTACTCACAAGAACTCTTACAAGAACTCATTTTGAAGTTAAGTTGGTGTCTTGTTCCGATTTTCATATGTGCCTTTTTACTCATTCATGTTTGACATTGTTACAGTATCTCGACACGGTCTTATCCACTTCAAGACAGTGATGTAGCAAATTTTGCCATTCAATTTTTCACGTAGTAGATGGAACTTATCATCACGATGGAAAAAACTAGAGTATTTAAAATCTGTACAAACTATTAACTGAGTTTTTCCTTCAGCAGTTACTAAGTTCTTTCAATACAGAAAGTTCAAGCACCAGGACAAACATCTGGAAACCTTACAACATGATATTCCCAAATACGAACCTTTTACTTCACAGAGTAATGACAGGTCCAGTTACATTTTATGACACAGTTCAAAGCATGTCTTCCACCAAAGGCACTAAGACATCAATTCTGACACACCATTAACACGTATAGAATTTGTCATCTTTTTGGTAATCAAATCCTTCAACTCGATCTCTCCAGGAAACCTTCCCTCCTTCAGCTTAGAGAAAACCTTCAAGGTCAGAAGAATTTGAAGATATGAGCAAAATTTCAAAAGCATTGAAGATGCCACATGTATCACCGTACCTTCCATCTAAATAACTCTAGAGTCAGAAGAGGCAAGGGGGTGATGAAAAGATCGTTCAGAAAAGAACTGTTTGAACAGAAAAAAATGATATGTTTATTCCTAATTAACTGTAAGTTGAACCCCCCGTTTGGATATAAACTAGAAGTGCTTTTGAGAGTTCTCTATTGAAAAATATGAAGTTCATTTCAGTAGACAAGCTCTTAAAACACTTATAGTTTTATACCCAAACAAGCTCTTAGTCTATACACAAATTATACACTATAAAACACTGAATGCAAGAAACATAATAATCAAAATAATGTTTCAAAGCCAAAATGCCAAATACACAATGAGTTGAATGCATGGTGAGCAATAGTTCTCCCCCAATCGCCCGAAAAGGCATGTAGATATATAACTGTGATCTGAAAGCAGAGGTTCCAAACTACAAAAATTATATAAAAATGTCAATGGTACGACTTTGGCTCTCGAGGTATCAAAGATGTTTAGCTGGAATGGAGGATAGGTCAGTCGGCCCACGTTTTCACAATATCTTTCGGCAGAAATCACAAACTAGTTTTAGTTTGTTAAATACAATATTATTGATAAGAATAAGAATTCAACTACTACAGCCAAAGATAACGATTTTGCTTAACATATTATTGATAGTATTAGTAGCTAAAATTTTTCGAAGTGAGCCCCAAGTTAACCAGAGAAATCCAGTGAAGTGATAAAATGTTGATTAAACAACTCATGTGAGACATCTACCCAATTGATTACTCGTGCGAGTCACAAACCAAAACAAAACTTGCATCTACCAAAGAGAAAGATCAGGAGCTCATCTAGCAAAGAAATGTGTACTAACAAATATGAGAAAATAAAAGATGGAAGGTACCAACCAGTTCACCATTAAAGTAAATTTCAAAAGCTCCAGAGCTCTGTAAGAATGACTGCAAGGCATTCCCAAGAAGCCAAGTAGTAGCAACGGTTCCAAATTTATTAGCACGCAAGTTGTGATACCAAGGAGGAGGTGCAGCAAAACCCAACATTGGAAAAATATGTTCCCCTGCAATAACCACTCCTATAACACCAATCTGAACAACTGGAACCAATTTGCTTAGCAGACGCTTTGGAAGCGATGGGGGATAATTTGCAAGGATAACCTCAGTTCCAGGAAAAGCAATCTCCAACATATTCTTCATTGTAACTGCTGTTCCCCTACACACAAACAACAGTACCATGTGCATGCAAATTGCAATGAACCAACTTTTGTTTAAAAATGCATTTTCTCAAGGTAGCAGAGATGTTTGGATGAAAGAAAGGAAATAGAGGGGGCAGAAAACCCAAACAGCAATGCTTCTTTTTGTTTGGTTGTGAGAAAATTAAGAAAAAATGGGAAAGAAAAATTGCCTTTTAGAAACAAATTCAAAATTATTTTTCATTCTATTTTCTACTAAATTCAAAATCCGAAATTTATCTTTCTCATTTTCTTTCCCCTGTACCAAGCAATTAAAACTTCAAACGAAGGGTTAAGAAACACAAATCAATAACAGAAAGCAATGATCTGGAACAATACTTCCCTCAATCCCTGGCTAACCAATGATACATGATAAGATATACAACCCAGATAAGATTTTACAATCTGGATGCATTAATCAAAAGTCCTAATGGCATAAATAAATCAACTTCAGTCAATCCCCCCATTACTCACAAACTAAATGAGACAGATAATCTCAAAAACCTTTCTTTTTTAGTAATTTTTTCTCTACATAAAAATCCATCAACATTAGAAAACAACAGCACTATAATACTAATAACAAGTACCTGTAAGAGCAAGAAGAGCAGAAATTAATGTTGACAGTGTTGCCGAGACCCGCAGTTGCAATAGTGCTGGTGATTTTCTGAGAAAACAATAAGAAAAGCGACCCGTTAATGGGACATTGAAATAATGAGAAAGATGCGATTTTCACGAGTGAAATTACCTCTGGGGGGAACTCTATTGTTACCGGTTGGTGATGGTGGTGGGATGGTTGGTGATGGTGATGGGGCGGGTGATGATGGTGGTGCGGTGGGTGATGGTGGTGGTGCGGTGGGTGATGGTGGTGGTGGTGGTGATGAGGTGGCGGTGGTGGTGGTGAAGTGAAGAGGGAAAAGAGGTCAGAGCAGAAAAGGAAGAGAGGCAGACCGAGCAAGAGAAGCTGAGCACGATCCATTGGCAGGGAAGTTGGAAGATGGGAGGTGGAATTAGAATGGAAGAGTGATGATGATATGATGCTGAGCAGAAGAGAAGTTTGTGGTTTCGCCTCTCACTGACTCAGAAATTTACTTTAGTTTCTAATTTCCGTTTTCATTTTTTTTTTAAACTATAAACTCGTTATTTATTCATTATATTTCCCATCTTTGAATTTCTTCGTATACTCTATCATCATATTTTTACTTTTTATATAATTTATTAGGACTAGAAATCAGGTTAATTAGTCGCAATTTGTTGGACTTTTATTCATAAAAATAAGATAAATGAGACTAATAGACTATAATAAGAATTATATTGGTATATGTAGACTATAAATAATTAAATCTAACAAAAAATTATCCAAACGCAAAACTTAATACTAAAGATAAATAAGTATTAGGGTTAAAGGAAAGAATGCCGATAACTAAGTATTAATAATATATATTAATAATATGTTTGAACAGTTTACATAAAGAAATTGAAATATAAATATCAAAATTTCGAAGTCTCCTCAATAGTTGTCCAAATGCCAAATTGTTGTTTTTGTGAGAAACAGTGATCAAAATAGCTTGAAGAGGGAGGGCCTTGAAGTTTTGTGGTGTCCTCCTAGCCAGTGTTGCATGTGGACTCCAATGGCATCCAAGTACAAGCTGCTCCTCCCATGAAAACCCAGCACCTTGCCCTCTGTAATGGTTGAGGTGAAGAATTTCCCAACTTCTTCACCAAATGGACCATACCGGCCACGACTGGTGTTGAAAGTCAGTGACTTTATGATTATATGCTGCTGATCATCCTTAGTGATTGACCCGTAATAGCCAGATATGCAAGTCAGGACCTCATGTGGATGCTCCAGCTGTATCTGAAATCACAATAATTAATTAAACCTTGATAATGGTTAAGAATGCTAATGTCATGTACATTTTGTATTTGTACTTTGTAGCATTTGACATCAAATATCATCATGCTTTAGCTTGATTTAAGAAAAAAGTAATGATTGAGTTATTTTGATAATCATACCCTGTGCATGGTGTCTCCTCCATTACCACCATGTTTTACAGACCACACAGATTGCTTGTTTCGGTCATACTCTATTTGAATAGAGCATATGCCTTCTGATACTTTTGTCAAATAAATTTGCTTAATCCCAGTAAAGACTCCATCATCCCAGGGTCTACCTCCATCCCCACCCCATGGCCCTGATCCACATGGAGCTGGTTCCTTAATCACACCACAAGAAACCTACGAAAAGTGTAGCAAAGTGAATAGTACAATCCATAATAGGAGATTGACAATTTTTTTAAGCATGCATTCACTATCTTCTGGGTCCTAAAAGATGTTGAAAAAGGACCTTACCTCTTCCACTGCTGATGGCTTAGCAAGTACTAGTTTGTTGGGCCATTGAGCTCTGCCTATATCTCCACTACTTGTTTCTCTAGGGTTGATTTCCTTGGAAGGGGTTGCCACAGGCACTATTACTTTCCCTTCTACAACATGTACTCCAAAAGCATCTAGGAACAAACCTTTTCTCCCATGAATGCCAACAATTTTCCCTTCTTTCACTTTTGTGGTGAAATAAGTTCCTTGTTCATCCCCATATGGTCCATACTTTCTCTTGTTGGTGTGGAAAGTTAGTGACCTTATAAACACAGGCCCCATGTACATCAAAGGATCGCAGTAGCCAGATACATGTGTCAGGACTTCATAAGGAAAGTCAAAAGCTATCTGCAAAATGATGTCGCATAGATTAGAAGTTAATCTGATTTTCCTTGTTTGTTAAGTTGAGTAAGCTAGGTGTGGCTATTTATTTTTGTTCACCTTTTCAATTTTAAATCCTCCTGTTCCACCTTGCTTGGATCCCCATACGGTCTCCCCATGATGATCATACAGAACTCTAATCCATACAATGCCAACATTTCGTGACAAGTTGATCTGCCTGATCCCTGTGTAGCTTCCATCATCGAATACATGTCCACCAATGCCACCCCAAGGTCCATATGTGATCACACCTCCAACCTTTGGGATTGACTCTTTCACACGAGCTATCTAAAAGAAGATAGAATCAAAGATTCATTAGAGTAAGGAACACTTTAAGTAACAGAGAGATCATCAACGCAGCCTCTCTTACCCTTTCCTTATGTTCGGTATTGTTGGGTTCTTGGACAAAAGAAATCTTCCGGGAGACATTGTTTGCTAAAGGCTTACTGAAATCATCTTTTTGTCTCACAGCAAGAACAATATCGTAGTGTTTGTTCACAGTTCCTTGTATCACAGAATAACCAAAATTCTCAGAAAAGTGAGTAATGGGGCTCTGGGAATGAGCCAAATTCTTGGATGGATTTGGTTGTTTCAAGGACTTCAGATAGACTCCAATGGCGTCTATGTACCAACCACACCTGCCATGGAGCCCAACAATTTTTGCCCCAGTCAATGGGACTGAAAAATATGTCCCTTGTTCAACACCAAATGGTCCATAAGTTTTCTTGTTACTCTCAAAACTCAGTGACCGAACTATGTTTGGCCCCAATTGATTGAAGCTGCCACAGTATCCATGGATTTTAGTTAGGATCTCATTTGGATAATCAAACTTCACCTGTAACATAGTCATTAGTAGATTGTTATTATATGCTCAAGTTTAATTAATACCAACTTCTAACATGGGACTCAACATGCCATTACTCTTTTTATAACTAGAAATGGAACTACAAGTATAGACCATTAGATTACATTTAAATGGTCAAGACTCAAGACTAAAAGAAAATATACACCAATTTTTTAAGTAGCTATGTGACCTGTAACTAGCTCTATGCATAGAAGTATCACTCAAATTTATAGTTTTTATTTCTCACAAAATGAAGAAAAGCTCTCACCCCATAATCTCTATTTCTAATATATCATATTCTGTAGTGCCAATATAGCAAATTAATGTCAGTAGAGAAGGTAAAGACATGGAACTTTACCTTGTCAGTTTTACGGCCTCCACTTCCACCATGCTTCTCTGACCAAATAGAGCTTCCTTTCTTATCATATTCAATCTGGATGGAGTCAATGCCTGCCCCATGAACTATCACCAATTGCCTTACTCCTGAGTAGACCCCATCATCCCAACGAGACCCTCCATTGCCTCCCCATGGTCCAACTGACTGAGGTTTCTTTATGGAATCCTCAAAACTCTGCACCCAAAACATCACACAAAGGTGTTAAAAAAGAGAGGGTAGAACATATATTTGCTGAACATAAACTGAGGTATCTATGCATTGAGTTCTATTTAACATAAACAGCAATGAATTTAGGCATATGTAATGTAACATAAGCAGCTGTATGAATGTACTACCATCTTCTACTCGGGGGATAATAATTGTAGACTTTCGACCAAGAAAACTGCTAGTGCTAATGTGGGTGTAGTTAGGGGGAGGCATAGGAGGAATTTATGGGGGAAGAGGTTGATTTTGTGGCAGGGGACTCAATCTAGAAAAATAATATAAATGAGGAACTATGTAGTCAAAGCTAATTTGAGTGCACCATGGAGGGAAAGGATTAAAAGTCAGGGAATCAAATTCCCCACAGATATCAGTCCCTTGTTTTTATTAAGCAAAATTTCATGCACTTTTTATGGTCAAGGAGCAATCATTTTATTTTTAATATTTTGTACAAAATTACTGGGAAAAGAGAAAGGAACATATCATCTTATGCTAAATTCGAGTTTTGAAATTTAGTCAGAAGCACTTAAGAATCTAATAGAGGTTTGGTGCCATGAGTAGTGCAGATTTCATTGGTTCTGATTTCTAATTATCATTGCATACTCTACACCCTTTTATATTTTGTTGTTTAACCCTTTTTAGTCATCGACTTAGTATTAAAATTTTACACCATGCTTACTCATAAGGTGCTTCTTAAAAACTATTCGAGGAAGAATCTAATACTCTTTTGTGGCTGTTTGCTCATGCACAGTTTTTATTCTTACTATCTTTTTCCAGATTGGGTTTTGTCGCTCCAATAATTAATTTATAGAGCATCCTCCTTTTTTTGGTGAGCATAGTTTGTAAAGCATCTTTGAATGACAATGTTGTGTTACTTGTTGTTATAGATGAACAAGAAAAGACTACAATTATTGGTTTTATAATTTATTTATATATTCTAGTTGGAAATTACCAACAGGGCATGCTTTCAAATCTTTGTTCTGGAAAGCATCACATATTCTGGTATTGTAATCAAATGGGGTTCTATATAGCTTAAAATGTATCATAATATGAACAGATTTTACTTAAGTCACAGTGTAAATTTTATTATTTCATTACATCCGTGATTTCCACGGTAATTTTTTCATCATATCCTTTAACCAAGGGATTTTCTTTTTCATTATTTGTTATGTCTTATGAAGGAAGATTCATATAAAAAATATAAAGGATTGAGATGTAATAATAATAATAATAATAATAATAATAATAATAATAATATTATTATTATTATTATTATTATTATTATTATTATTATTATGTATAATCAATTGTGTTTTCTTGTACAACGGACTATAAGGGAACGGATTAATTCTCATTCTCACATTTACACAAGAGGACGGACCATAAGAACACGAGAATACTAAAAAAAAATATTTCTTGTAATAAATACGAAGGTGTATACATTTTTTGTTATGCATGATTTTTACAAAACCACTTGTTTAAAAATGCAACTAGACTCAACGATCTAAAACTTGATCAATTATTTTTAAATAATCACATTAAATCAAAATAAAATCAGACAAATTGAGATAAAATTAATAAATTTGTTGGATTTTTGATCAAATTAATAAAAAAAATTAAAATTGTTAATATTATTTTTTTATAAAAATATAATATATTTTACTTTATTTTTTTATTTCATATTAATTACATTAATTTTAAATAATAATTATTTCACTGTATTTTTATTATATTTTAACAATTATTCATCTTTTATTTTTTATTATATTTTATATTTATAATTTTTATTGTAAATTATCATGACTATTACAATAATTTTATTGTTTTAAAAAAATTATTATTAACAATAAATTTATTAAATATTTATTATATTATAAAAATATTATTTTATTAAATTTCATCAGAACTTAAACCCTAAATTAATATATTGACCATTTGTGTAATCGGATATTGACCAATTGAGTAATCGGACGGATACTTTTAAATCGACCTAAAGGTTTTAAATTTTTTTTCTTTTTTGTTAGAACTTGTTCTTTCAAATCAGAATTTTTTTTTTGTTATTTCAAAACATTAGTAATATCAACTGCGTTAGTGTCCATTTCTCCTCAAATTCCGAGTCCCTTTTTTTTTTTTATCTTACATGTTTTCTTGAAGAAACTGAAGCATCATCTTCACACGGATCCATTTCTTCACAATCAACAACCCTCTAAAACTGCACTAAGTACCCAGCTACCTAACCCGCAGAAGACCTTCAAAATCGGGTTGCAATTTGCATTTGAATTGAAAGAATACAAATAATAATCTCAGCCTAAAGGTAGATATGGAGGATATGTTTTGGTTTAAGCATATAAATTGACACGTGTCAATTGATCTTATCCCTTTATTTTGTTCATGTAGATACCATCAAAATATTTATTTACATCAAGAATAGTTAAACAACATGACATGACAAATTTACATGTTTCTGAATCCATTGATTCTCTTTCACATCTATTTGCTCTACCAATAATCTCTACAAGAGCAATGACCATCTTTAAAATGGTGTAAGCAATTCGAATCGCTTAAATATATTTCACATCCATATGCCAATGATATGTATTTAGCTGTGTCATGGCAGTCCTTACACATTCTCAAATTCTTTACTATCCGTAAAATTTGAGGTGTGTGATGAGAATCTATTAAAGCAAATGCCAACGCAAGCTTTTCAGTATGTACACTACTGATATCCTCCTTCTCCTCTTCCTCAATGCAAAGTCCATTGTCAGAAATATGTGCCTTGACATTTACACCTACCCGTTTTAGCCAAGAATGTAGCTTGTCCAAATAAGGTTTTGACTGATCACCAACAACAAAAGTATGGACCATGTTATTCATTTCAATCCAGCTTTGCCCAACAGGAAACTTTTCTTTCTCCAGCTTTGTCATTTTTGGAGCTTCCCAAGATTTCCCACATAAAGAATATGCCTGTGAAAGTAAATGCTGAGTTATTATATTTTCAGGATCCAACTCAAGCAGATTTTCTCCTGCGAAGATTGCCATTCCGAAATTCCTGTGAATTCTGCAGGCAGTCAGAAAGGCGGCCCATACAGAAAAATTCGGTTCAACGGGCATGTTCTGAATAAACTTCAGCGCTTCGGCAAGATTACCTGAACGACCAAGCAAATAAACCATAGCCGAATAATGTTCCATATCTAGTCTAATCTGATATTCTTCACTGATGTTGGAAAAAACATGTTTTCCCTCATCCACCATTCCAGCATGACTATACGCTGAGATAATATTTGCAAGAGTAACTCTATTTGGATGAAGTCCGCCATCCTTCCTCATCTTATCAAAAAGATCAAGTGCAGACTCTGAACAGCCGTGTAAAACATAAGCTGAAAGCAGAGAGTTCCAACTGATGATATCTTTTGGGGACAATCCATCAAATACTTTTCTGGAGTACATTATATTTCCTGACTTACCATAACTGTCAATGAATATATTTGATACATAAAGTTCAGACACTAAATTTCTACGTATAGCACAACAGTGAATTTCTTTCACTTTCTTAGCAGCCACTAGGTTTGCACAGGCAGGAAGGATAGTCAGCACTGTAACTATATTGGGAGCCATGTTGGAGAACTGCATCCGCCGAAATATTTGAAATGCCTTTTCCTTTTGTCTACTCTGCAGAAAACCAGAAATTAATGAATTCCATGAGGCGACATTTGGCTTAATATTCCCATCTTTCTCAATTCTTTGAAAAAGATCCAACGCCTCATCCTCAGCACCATTCTGCATAAAACCTGTGATCATCACATTCCATGTAACAACATTAGGTGGCGAATCAGACTCCTGCATTTTCATAAATAACTCATGAGCTTTTCCACAGAAACCAGCTTGGCAATATCCTCCAATAATTGAGTTCCAAGAATATACATCTCTCCTTAACATCACATAAAAAATGCGTTGAGCAGCTTCCAGATTGCCACCTTTGGCATACATGTCAATCAGTGAATTACTAATAAGAATATCATCAACCAAACATGTTTTAACAGCTACAGAATGGATTTCTGATCCCATTCTTAGTGATTTTATCGACGCACAGGCCGAGGCTGCAGTAGCAATTGTAATACTATTGGGCTCAACCCCTACTATAAACATCTCCCTCAACAAATCAAAAGCATCATTTATCCTTCCCTTTTGAGTAAACCCAGAAATCAAAGAAGTCCAAGTATATACATCTGGAGTAATCCTAAAACTCTCCATCTTCCTCATTAAGTCTATTGCAATCTCACAATGCCCCAACTGACTGTAACTGGCAATTAAAATGTTCCAGGTTACCAATTCTGGTTCAACTCCTTCCTCGTGCATTGCATCAAAATACTTCCTAGCTTTTTCGATCTCACCCTTCTGACAACACCCAGTTATTATGACATTCCAGGAAATACAGCTCCTCTCATCCATTCTCCTAAAAAGCTTCTCGGCACAACTCATCTCTCCACACTTAGCATACACGGTCAAAATTGAATTGATCACACGCAAAGAAGAGCACCTTCCTCTTCGAATCGCCATCGAGTGGATCAGCCTGCCAGTTTCAAAATCCCTGCTCTTTCCGCATGCTTTCAAAATCTTTGGTAGCAAAAAATCATCAGGCAAAACCCCATGTTGCATCATATCATAAAAAAGCTCCACAACTTCCTCCCACTTAAGGTCTCTGAAACAAGCACCAATCATAGCAGACCAAGTGAACAAATTCCTCTCACGCATTTCATCAAACACTTTCCGTGCCTCGTCCAAGTGCCCACATTTGGCATACATGCTGACCAACTTGGTCTCCACAAAAGGATTAACCTCTGTCACCAACCCAATCCTAGCATGCAACTCCCTACCCACCCAAATGCAGTCACTGTCAATACAAGCCTGAAGCAGATTAATGAAGGTAATGCATCTCACCTTGGAGCCTTGTTGGGCCAAAGAGTCCAGAATTGCCACAGCCTCACTCAGGGGACCATTGGCACATAGCTGGTTCAACTGGGTTTCTATCACTTTTGGGTGTGACCTATTGGACATAGAGACCTTGTAGGAGTTTGCAAGGACCCTTGTTGAGCCATGCCACTCCAATTGGGTGACACTATGAGAAGGTATTAACAGAGAAGGCCATGGTTTACTGTGTAGAGTAATAAGGTTCTTCTCCATTGCGTTTTTTTTTTTTTTTGTTTTCCCCGGTTTCTAAATGCCCTTATCTCCTTTGGGTTTCACACGAGTACGTGCAGATGATGTTACCAAATCGCATCCATTCTGTTCCTCCATTAGGAAAGGGAGAAGATTTATCCTTTACTTTACAATAAACAAATAATTTTAAATGTATAAATTTTATTTTATATTTATACAATAAATACTTTCATGTGATATATTTTTAATTATTTAAAAAATATTGAAATTTATTTTAAAAATAATATATTGAAAAAATGTTTATTATGAAAATCAAATATATAGATAATACCCAAAAACAATGAGTCATTTCAAAAAATAAAAATATAGAACAAGAGAAGAATGATTGTATTTTAATTTGATTCAATTGTTATATAGAATAAAATTTGGATGACTACAACTTACAAGTTCATTTAGAGGAAGAAAGTTATTCCTATAGTATATAAAAGACAACTATTTATTATTGTTATTCTGCGTAATTCAATTAATATAATAAATAATTCACATTTAATGGTTAAATTAGCATGAGATGAAATTGGGAATGGAAAGTAGTTCTCTTGAATTACTCAACTTGCTTCCTTTATTAAAGTTCCGACAAATACGAATCCTTTTGTATTTTGTCTAGAAAAAAGGTTTCAAGTGTAACTAACCTTCGGTTTATGGTGTATTTGATCTAGAATTAGAAATAAATACCAGTCGCCATTTATGATTTGTTTCATTTCTACTCGTCAATTACATTTTTCTTTCTTCATCATTATTGAGTTTTTCTCACGAATGATTTCCATCTATTTTATGGTGAAGGCTCTGTTTCAGTGACACACAATCTCTTAGGTACGTTCCAACATTGGTGACCGTTTGAACTCGTCTCGCAAGGTATTTTTCTTTATTTTTTTATCTTGTAATTTTGTTTCCATCTAATGTGAGCTTTTTCTATTGATTGGTTCATGTAATGTGCTGCAAATTTTTATCTTCTTTCTGATCCATTTTTAATGAAATAAATGTATTCTCATGCTAATTTTCAAAGCTTGAGATCTGGTTTTAGAGGATTGTTACAAGTGATTATGAATATGATTCATTTATTATATTTTAAAAACCAATATTGTAAAACCCAGTAACCACTGTTTGGTTGAAGAGGTTAGAATAAGGGGAAAATGAGTTAAACAAGGTTGATGATGCAATTCTAAAGCAATTAGGGATTGTTGAACTAATTTGAAAGACCGTCTATATTTTCACATTATTTGGGTTATCTGTTAAAAAAAAAACATTGAATTGTTTTATTCATTATTTAATTCAATTCATATACAAGTAAAATATGAGTAATTTTGTTTGCATAATTTTGTGCACACTTTTATTTTATTTTGTTTTAATTTTTTTTTTATTACTAGAATTTTGTCCGTGTGGTTGGTTAAGAATTTTTTTTTCTTAGTTATTACTAGTTCAAGTTTTTTATTTATTTTAATTATTCACACTATACTCGTCCTCCTTTTTTAATCAAAATTTATCATGTTCTCATTTTTATTATTTTATATTATTTAACTGTTTATCGAAAATAATATAAGTAACCTAGGTAACTATAGAGAGCTACAATCCTATGGGCCATCCTAGTTAATTAAAAACAAAAATGCACGGTTCTTGGACCGATCCTTACCCTTAGATCTTATTGGGCTTTTCGGCCTTCTACCCTTAATAGTTTCTTATGATCATGATTCATGAGTACAAAAACACTTTTATATAATCTAACACAATTTTTTAATAAAAATTGTGTTTAAATTCACATTTATTTTGTTTTTTAGATCTTTCTTCGTGTGATTTTGTTTATCTTTTAATAAATGACGTAAATGATTATCTAATTTTTCAAAATTAAACAAGTTTAATCCAACATTATTATCTCATCCAATTATGAATAAAATGTTAACGTTTTTTCATTGAAATATATGTTCACATTTTTTTAGAATTTTAAAAAATGGAAAAAAAATCGAATAATATTTTATAATGACTAAAATTATACGTTTTGTCACAAAAAGGAGACAATAAATGAATTTGAACCCAAAAATCATTTGCAATTTATAGATTTTGCGAATTTTGCATGTTGACAGTATCATCTAGTACTAAAATTCGTATTAAATGCTGAATTGACGGAGTTGAAAACTTATTTAATACAATTTTTTCATGAAAAAGTTAAACAATGAGTTTCAAGTAGGTTAAATAAGTCAATTTCAAACTATTTTTTTATGGAATTTTAATATTACACTCTTTGTTATTAATAAAATTTATTCAAAAGTACAAAATATGAGTCTCATTGTTCATTTAATTCCCAATAAATTTAGAATAATAACAGGAAAGGTTTAGTATCAATATCATATATTAAAAAAAATAACTTAAATAATTTTTTTTTATTTATGCGACTAAATCAATTTACTGATTATACACAAAATTTAATAAAAAAATAAATTTGTCTGACATAATATAAATATTTTATTTATTTATTTATTTATTTTCTTATTTTCTTGCTTTTTCTCACTCATGTTATTATTTAATTAAAAATAATGAATTAAAGTTTGATAACATAATTGTTTTATTAAAAAAATATTTAAATAATTTAAAAATATTACAATTTAATATATTATATTTGAAAAAATATTATATATGATATATTTGAGATGTTATAAATATTATTATTAAGAAAAACTAGAATATATATTTTAAAGTATTTTTTAATAATTATTTTTTAAAATTATCTAATCTTGTCATAACTCAAAATTATTATAACTACGTATAATTATTAAATAAAAAATATATTTAATTTATATATATTTGATTTTTTTAATTAGATAAGTAGTTATTTATTATGATAAAATAATTTTAAATTATTTATTTACATCATTATAAATAAAATCATTTATCGTCATCATAATTTAAATAATTAATTAATATTTTTTATTTTCAATATTATTTTTAAACTATTTGTTTTAATATATTTTTATTAAATTTTAATATAATAGTTTAATTAAGAAAATAAGTAGAAAATGAGAGAAAAAAGTAAATAAAGAAAGAAAAAAAATAAAATTTATGAAAAAAACCTTTATATAAACAATAAAACAGTCTAAGTAAAATAAATTTATATAAATTTTGTTTGAACACTTCAATATTAAAAAATGTACAAGTTGTATAAAAAAAGTGGGGAGTAAACAAATTTGAAACAAACATTATGCGAACAAACAACTTTAAAAGTAAGTGTCGGGGTTAATACTTGGCTCATGGTTTAGTTTTTCGTGATATAACGGAATATGTTTGGACATTTTTCTTTTACAGAAAAGCAAAGCCTCTACGGTTAAACACACTTCAACGTCTCCAAAAGTACTGGAGGAATAATTCAGAATTAATATAATTAAAAAGTCTTTCATTTTTCATTTTTTATTTTTTATTTTTTATTTTACTACCTGCACCCATAATTGTTTCATGACTTTTGTTAGAAGCAAATAATCAATTGGACAAATTGATTTGGGATAGTTAATAAAGCACTCTCTATAGTGATTTAGGACCATTAATATATCTTTTAATTTCAGTGTTTATTGTTATTTTAATCTGAATATAAATTAATTATTTAGGAGACAAATATTTAGTATATAAAGTATATGACGTCATTGTTTACCGTCATAAGTAATCTGCATTTATTAGTTATGATATGTTTACCAATTTGCCCTTGCTACTTACCCTAATTAGGTTGTTTCATAATTAAAGTTTAAAATAATAAAAAATGTGAAACTATATATACTAATTAATTACGTTGAAATCTAATAAGAATTAATGTCTCATTTTGGAAATACACATTAGTATTTATGAATTTTTTTATTATGTACAAGTAAAATTCAAACAGTGTCATTAGTTCTGTATATTACACATTAAATATTTAATGATTTTTTCAGTATATACAGATAGAATTCAAACAGTGGCATTATTTCTCTACAATAAGTTTGACCCAAAATATAAAGAAGATATTTCAACCTGACTAAAATTAAGATTTGTACCTGAGATTAAACATCAGAAACACATTTGATGGCATGCATAATCTGTTTCTAGAATTATCCTGGTTGGTTTGTCAGTTCTTTTCGAAAGGCAAAGCAACATAAAGAGTGGGGAAGCAAAGCAATGGAAGTAAAAGTAGAATGTTTTGGTGTTACTGTATTATTACAACTGTTACATTCTGCGGTTATATAAATGCACCACCCATGCGTGAATTTTTCAAAGATTTCTTCTTCTTGGTTTTCAGTACGCAACTTAAAGCCACTACCCCCCCCACCCACCCAGCACATATCCCTGAAACAGAGAACCACTGAGCCAAGCAGCAATGGTTAAAGACACAGAGCCTTTAGCCTACGCTGCTAATGGGCACCAAAAAGATTTTGACCCCAGTGCTCCTCCACCATTCAAGATTGCTGAAATAAGAGCTGCCATACCACAACATTGCTGGGTCAAAAACCCTTGGAGATCCCTCAGTTATGTTCTCAGGGATGTGCTGATTATTGCTGCACTGGTGGCAGCAGCAATTCACTTCAATAACTGGTTTTTCTGGCTCCTCTATTGGCCTATTCAGGGCACAATGTTCTGGGCTTTGTTTGTGCTTGGACATGATTGGTAATGTGTTGCTTTTGTTATGAGTCTCACGTTGTTTAGGATATTGATGTTGTTTATATTCTCAAGTTCTACTTTCTGCATTGAACAGTGGCCATGGAAGCTTCTCAGACAGCCCTATGCTCAATAGCTTGGTGGGACACATCTTGCATTCCTCAATTCTTGTTCCATACCATGGATGGTTGGTTCATAGCATCACTTTTCTTGTTCATTTGTCCTTGAAGGTTCTTTGAGATTTTATAGCACGTTTGAAAATTCATTAAAGTAAAACTTACATCTGCGATGTAAAAGTTTCAAAACTATCAACTTCCGAATGAACCTGAAAAATCACATCTGAGATGTGTAACCTAACACTTTCGTTTGACAAGCCAATTGAATTTTATTCTATGGAATTTTGCAGGAGAATTAGCCACAGAACTCACCATCAAAACCATGGACACATTGAGAAGGACGAGTCATGGGTTCCAGTAAGTGATTTAACTTATGATATATATATTTGGTAGGCCCAAGAAAAAAGGGCAACTTTGTACTTTCATGAGGCTGTTCTTGAACATGGCTCGTTTTATGTCATTGTCTCAGTTAACAGAGAAGATTTACAAGGATCTGGACTACATGACAAGATTCTTTAGATTCACTGTGCCGTTTCCATTGTTTGTGTATCCAATTTATTTGGTGAGTGCGTTTTTGACTGGGAATTCAGACAATGATTATATTTATGATAAATATATGGTTCAAAGTAATAAGTTTTGTTTGTGATGTGAACTCCATTTCAGTTTGGAAGAAGCCCCGGAAAGGAAGGCTCTCACTTCAATCCCTACAGCAATCTGTTCCCACCCAATGAGAGAAAAGGAATCGCAATTTCAACACTCTGTTGGGTTATGATGTTTTCTCTGATTATCTATCTGTCCTTCATGACTAGTTCACTTCTAATGCTCAAGCTCTATGGAATTCCATATTGGGTAAAATCACCATTCCTACACTGTTACTTCTTTTGCATCTTCTTTTTTTAACTCTACATTTGAAAACTTGAAATAGTTATACTTCTCCATTCATTGTATAATTGTTCGAACATGGCAGATATTTGTTATGTGGCTGGACTTCGTCACCTACTTGCATCACCATGGTTACTCCAAGAAACTACCTTGGTACCGCGGCGAGGTATCAAATTCAGTTTATTCTGTTGTTTCCCTTCGGTTCTTATCTGATACTCTTACTAGGGCAACTCAAATAGAAAACTATTTTAAATCTTTTCTACATTTTGAAAAATTACTGGGGCAGATATTTGAAAGTGTTCACTACTGAGTCTTTACAAAAGCTGAAAGAACAATTAAAGTCAGATATTCTTGACTGTCTTGAAGATATTATTTGAAAATTGAAAGCAGTGTTTAGTAAAAAAAATATAAACACAGTTGCAGAGTCGTACTATAATTCATGGAAACATGTGGCTTAGCGATGGCCGTACCAGAAAAGTGGTGACACACATGTTTGAGTTGTGTGTTCTGAATGGAACAGGAATGGAGTTATTTAAGAGGAGGCCTAACAACTGTGGATCGGGACTATGGATGGATCAACAACATTCACCATGACATTGGCACCCACGTTATTCATCATCTCTTCCCTCAAATCCCTCACTATAATCTTGTTCAAGCGGTACTTTTTTTTATTCCCTTAAAACATAAATACTCTGCAAATACTACTTTTGTTTTATCCACTGCAACTTCTTTTTATGTAACCTTTCCTCTGTTTTTAAACCATTTCTTTACACCCACTTGCTTTTTATAATAATAAGAATGCGGGTATTGTTGTAATTCAGTTTGAGTATTTTAATTAATTGTCAGAACTGAATGAACTTTTGACTGGAGTATAGAGAGAGGAATATTTGTTGGCAAAGAAATGGATGAATAAAAATAGATGAATAGTAGAAGAAATAGATGTATGCAGAGGAAATAGAAGGATTGATGAGACTAACAGTAAATTGAGAGTGTTTTGGAATGAATGCAGACAAAGGCAGCAAAAGGAGTTCTTGGAGAGTATTACCGAGAGCCAGAGAGATCTGCAGCACTTCCCTTTCATCTGATAAAGTATTTAATGCAGAGCATGAGAGAAGACCACTTCGTGAGTGACAGTGGAGACATTGCTTACTATCAGACTGATCCTCACTTCCACCGAGACTGACTTCAACAAATTTTGGTCCATCTATTGTTTTCTTAGCTACTCAAATAATTTACTTTTCTTTTCAATCTCACATTTTGGAGTTTAACGTTTTCTCAACAACTTGCAAATTACTTGCATAGAGAGACATTAATATAGAGAGCGGGGCTCAATGGAATAATAATATTTCAAACTACCCTGCTAATAAATATTGAATTGTCAGTTTTCATTTCTGATTTTTCTACCACTTGCACAGACCCTTCACATGGGGAACATAATTTATTCCACAATTTAACAACAAAAATAAAGTTACTTCACATGGGGAATTCCAAAAATATCACAATTCTTATACCACACTTCCAACTTTCAAGATCAGATTTACCTATATGGAAAATTTATTCATTAGTAATACTCCTCACTTTCTTTTTACAACTAACAAGAGATTAAGTTTAATCCTTTTCATAAGCACCAATTTAAAATATCATACATGTTTTTTTTTTTTAACAAAAATGCATTAAGTAGTTTATAAATACAAAATAAAAATATTTATATAGTATTTCACAAAATATTTTTAATAATAGCTACAATTTAAAAACAAAGCAGAGAACAAAATAAAGTCCGACCTAATTTTGCGTAGGTAAAATAAAGGCATTTGTTGATGTCAAAAGATATAATAAAAATATATAGTAATTAATAAAATTAGATGAGTTTCTGATATTAGTTAATTAGGTTTTGAAGAAAATAAGAGAATAAACATTTAAAAATTGTATAAAATTAGTATGTTAGGAGACAAGATCTATTTGGTGATTATTAAAAAACGAAGAAAGTAATACAGAAATTTAACAAGTTATATGGACTATTCAGCGGAGTAACAAAACTATATATACATACCTCCAATCTTATTCGTATCAATTATATATATATATTCACATGGTGCAAAACTTGGTGTATCATGATTTTCAAAATCCAATCAATTTTAAGAAAAAAAAAATAATAAAACCTTAAAAACATGAAAAATACGAAGTTGAAAAACACACAGCAACCTTTGGCGTGGTGTGGAAATGCCCTTGGTTCCCCGTGTTGATATTGAATGGTTGTAAATGTTTGCATAGGTTTATGTTTTTATTACTTTTCAAAAGTTTAAAATAGACCAATAAAAAGTATAAGTATTTTATTACAATTACTGAATTAGCTAAGAGGTAATAAAATAATAACTTAATCCCGTGTGTATGTTCGAAAATGAGTTAAATGAAGATATAAAATGTGAAGGGGACAAGACTCAATGTTCTTTTTTTTTTATTTACAACACAGAAATTGAAACATAGACCAGTAACGTGTGAACCACGCGGGTATTATTTTATTTCTAACAAATAATGCCACTGTCTAATGTCTTGTCATTTTCCATTATATTTATGTTAATTATTGGATAGATTTTGAAGAGAACAATTTAGTTTGAAGTAAGAATTATAAATTGTAAAAAATAGATTTCAGTGGTTAAAGTTAAAGTAGTGTACAAGCATCAAAGCAAAAGAGTTAAAAAGAATGTAATCATCATAAATATGAATAAAAACCATTTAGATTTTTTTTAATGAATGAATGCTAATATTGTAGTGAATTAAATATTGCCTTTCTTTTCTCCACCGTCACAATTTCTCCATGCAATTCCTACCTCAAATAAAATATTTAAAATATTTTTTTATAATTTTATTTTTTAGGCAATTTTTTTTATTTGTGTTGAACTTCACCATCTCTATTTTTTAATTATTTGATTTTTTTTACTATCATAGAAGATATTTTTTAATAATTAAAAATAAGTAATATTTAATATTATATAAAAATTACATATTTTATCACTCAAATTGTATAAACAAATCCAAACTATTTAATACGAATCAGTGTCGTAAAGATGAGGTTGAATTTCAAAACACCTAAATCAGAATATATTTGGATTGATTTTTAAAAAATACATTTCAGAACACCAATTCCAAAATACTGTGATGGAGGGTGAAATGTTTTTTTGAAAATACATTATAAAGAATGCATTCCAGATTACATTTTTAGAATTGATTTTCTAGAAATTTATTATAGAGGTGAGTTTGTAATACATTTTTAAAAATTTAATTCCAAAAATTTATTTTAGAATGCATTTTTTGGAATATATTTTCAGAAAATTAATATTAAAAATATATTTTCGTAATATATTTTTAAAATTAATTTTTCATAAATACATTACAGAAAGTACTTTTTGGAACATGTTTTTCGAAAAGATTTTCCAGTTTCCTCAATCACTGTGTGTTTCCAGCAAAAAAAATTGTTGCATGAAAACCGTACATGTAAAAATTTGATACAAAATAAAAAAAAGTTGCACATCCTTACCTATTTCTCGTATTTTTTGGAAGAATAGAAGAGAAAAGAATGAAAATGTTGTAATAGGACTTAAAAATCAGTCATCGAACAAAATCATGAATAAACACTTACAAGATGAAATTATGGATGGACGAAGCAACAACTTTAAAATTTTACAATGCACGTTTAGCCCATAATATTTCATGGGCCAAAGCTAATCAGAGTAAATATTCCCTTGACTGATTGACCCAATTCATGGCCCAATCCATTAACTCAAACCCATCAGCACTAACCTACTTCCACGCCCCGACCTATATGATTGATTCAAATTCCTCACGGTCTCACTCAGCTGCAGCATTTCTCATAATCTCAAAGCCTCTATTTCCAAGTTCATCTTAATATATGTTGTAAAAAAAGTGTAGAATTGAATTAGGAACAAATCCAAAATCCATCTAATATTGTTGAATTCTTATGAAGAGATAGAACTGCTATACTTCATAAAGACATCTTTGAATTTTGAAATTCAGTTTTAATTGAAAATTAAATGCTAAGTTCAACCCTGTCAATTAAACAAGTTTACCTTTCGTATTGAATTTTTTGTTTACAATTATTTGATGATAGCCACGTTGACGTAAGCTCCAAAGCAAAATCTTAAAAGAAATACTAGTATGCTATACTTTTATAGTAATTAGTAAATGGAAAAACATTGAAAAGAGAATGTCAAACCTTAATTAGCTAGATTAAGGATGTTTATAACTCGTGAAGATGAAGTCTACTTAAAATTCTTACCCACTTTAGCCAGTGGCTTAGCTCCTTGACTTAGTTTGAAATCCAAATTCTTAACCTACCTTTTCAGGTTCTAACGTTTTCGAACTTAGATCGGGTTGGAAACTTGAGTTGTGGTTTTTATCTTTTGGCTTTTTGTGACGTGGGAAGCGGTTTTCAAAACTTGAAAACTCTCCCTGTGTATGAACTACTTTTTGGCTGAAAAAATTATCTGTTAAGACAAATACATAAATGTAAGAGCTTTTCAAAATCCATTCCTTTTTATTGTAAACCAAATTAGACGCAAAACACAGTTGCCAGAACTGGTGGGGACTGGTGACTCTTAGCACATCATTGTACTATTGTTGTCAACCTTCCTTCCTTCCTTCCTTGCAACCCTTCTCCCAAAGGCCAAAACAGTGTATATGTTGGAACAAACACAACCAAAAGTCAGTATCTTCGGCTGCAGAACCCAAAAGAATTTGGCCAGGTCACTGACATTACCAGCTACTCTGACCTGAAAAAACAAACACATTCTGTCAATGTCTCACCCTCCACACAAAACTACAAACTATACGATCACTGCGAAGCATAGAAGTTAGACCAACCACACAACATGATCTTCAGCTTCTAACATGAAAATCAATACTCTTTTTAGCTGAATTCAGTGTATCTCTCAGCAAATAATCTTTTCATACATACAAACTTCACTACCTAAACATTGGATTTTATGGTCTGTTTAAAGACTCAGATTATTTATCAATCATGCCGTAGCATGTTTATGTTTGGAAACTAGGTAGAAAAAGAAGGATCGTGATTGAGATGCCGAGGATATATCGATTAGTTTTTGAAACTAAAATCTAAAATGTAAAACATTAATAGTGAAAAAAAATCAGCATGCTAAAACCATATATGTAAAGGGCACTCGTTGATTCTTCTTTTTCCTTTCCCAGTGTTTGAACTTGAAAGAAGGAAGTAAAATTGGCACCTCAACGCCCCCCAAGAGAGGGCTTTTGTTTGCACCAGGCAAGGCAATAAAAGGACAAATACAGGTATGAAGTAAGAACTGATTTATCAATGGTCAAAAGCAAAGTAGTAACCCCACTCTAACTTGCTACCTCTCACACACATTCAAATGCAGATCCCGCCACCCTTCTCTCTGATGTAGCAAAATTCAAATCCCACTTTTGAGTGCTCCCATCTCATAACCATTGCCTTTCTCTTTGGAGGTCCGCAAATCCAAAAAGAAAACCATTCCACTTTTTTCATCATTCTATTCTCTTTAGCTCTTTTGCTTGTTTACTAGATCCTTCAACATGAAGCTCTTGACAACACCATCTTATTCATCAACCCCATCATCTTCATCCACCCTCCGATTGGATCCATCTTTGTGCAACTCCAAAAGTGCCTCTGCAGGGTGTCTCACTGCCATCTTGCGCAGGATTCTCTGCTCTGGTGGCCTTCCAACACACCCATCCGACCAAATAAAAGAACTTGATTCAGAGTCAAAGATGAGTGGCAAAGTTCAAGAATTGAAGTCTAAACAAAACGATGAATCTACCACCACTAGTCGTATTACTCCTGGGTTAGTGGAAAGATTAATGGGTTTGGAATCAATGGGGGAGAGAGAGAGACCCATTGAATCAAGTTCTTCACTTACACGTAGCAAATCCATGAACTCTATGGACTGCTTGGGGGAATGCAAGCGAATGGAGGGTCTTCACAATCGTGCTAAATCTTCATCATTCCGCGAGGTCCCAACTTTTCTTGAAAATGAAAACTTTTTGATACTCAGCTTCGAAAGTGGATGTAATGGTGGAGAATTCAGGTCCAAAGAGAGAAAAAAAGAAAAGAGTTTAAAAGAGAGAAGAGAGTTCAAAAAAAATAAGAGAGAAAAGGTGCATGATGACAAGGGGAACTTGTCTGACATGTCTTCTGCGGATGTTGGAAATGATGATGAACACAAAATTCAATTTGCCAACACTTGTACACTGTTCATGGCTTGTTTTGAAAAGGAGTACCTTGATTCAGAAACGGCAAGACGTTCACACCCCATGCAGATCAAGGAAGTAGCCAATGGTGAGAAAGTGAAGAGGAGGAAGAAGGGACCAACATGTTATTCGGAAAAGAAGGTGGACACTGAATGTAGTTCAGAAGATTCAAGTCCGGTTTCTATCTTTGATTTTGAGCGTGAAGCTCCTGGAACAGGTTTGTTTCTTTAAGTTGAGTTCAAGTTTTGAATAATACTAAATCCCCTATCCAATGTGTTTTATTTTTCCAATTCATTGAATATATTAACTTTTTTACTCGGATATTCTTTGGTTGCATGTTACAGATTAGATTTTCCACGTTTAATCAGAAGTTAATGGTTATAGATTGCATGTGTTTGGACTAAATGGACGTAATTGTTTACTTTCTGATGATTTTCTAAATATGTAGTTAATACTTTCTTTATAAAATAGTAGGAAGATATAATTTGATCAATTTGTCCTTGTTTGGTTATGGTAGTTGTGTATTTAGCTTTAGATTCATCGTGTCAGCTAACAGTTTCTTTCCCCGAGTTTTAAATTTGATGACTTATTAGACATAAATTGGTTGCAGATGTGGATTCTTATGGTGTTGATACGAGTTGGAGAAGAAAATTGTCACCAGAGCTTGAAAATGACAAACTTTGTGTTCTGCATTGTGATAGTAACATGATAATTGAGGAGGAGATGAAGGTAGAGAACAGCAAACATGAAAGGTCTAAGAGAAAAGAGAAGCAAAGCCAAGAGTGTGTAGATATTTGGGGAGAAATTTGTAGGCTAGTTGAAGGTGAATTGGGATCAAACAAGTTAGAGGCAGGATTGAGGAAAAAATGTGATTTTGAAAGTTTATGTGCAGATTTTGAGTCAGAAATTTTTGATCAATTGTTACATGAGTTCATAGATGAACTTGCTGGGAATCACTTGAAAGCATTGCAACTTCAAAATATGTAAAAGGGGCAATTTAATGAAGTGTAGAGAGATTTTTATTCTCCCTCTCGTTTTGTTTAAATTCTGGTTCTGTCACATTGTGCATCAAGGAAGATTCTCTTCTTTTTGCTAGTTTCAATGCTGCCATGTCTTTCGATCGTGCTTTATCCAAATACGACACATGGCACCAGACGCGACCATAGCCTTAGCCTTATTGCAACGTGAGATAAAAAAATATTAAATAGCATTAATTATTTAAAAGTTAAAAATGTTTATATTCTTTTTATCTAACAAATAAGAAAATAAAAATAAAAATCACCATTTTATTTACATCATTCTTATACTTTTACTATGATAAAAGAAGGGTAAAAATACATCATGATCACTCTTGTGCATCTTTAACTCCTAGCAATTAAAGAATTATAAAGATGATTAAAAGTATTTTGATGTGGAATTTGGAAATAAAAAGTTTGGATTACATACACAGCACAAGGCACTAGCTAGCATGTCAAATTCACCTCCCTGAGGCAACTACGAAGAGTTTTCTTTTTCTTTTTCGTACACAAGAAGCCAAGATGATGTATCCACTATGTTAAAGCGACCTTGGAGACGCTTTTTCTAACTTTAAATTCCTAACAAGAAAAGTATAGAGAAGATTGAAATTATAAAAGCATCGACGTGGAAATAACAAAGTTCATCTTGAAATACACTTCACACAGCACAAGCAAGTCAACTTCAATTCCACAAGGAAATTACAAGTGTAATGCAGATGGGTTTTTTCTGCACTAGAGTCCAAATGTTGCTGTGTCCACTAAAATATTAAATTAAAGCTACAATTTTGAGTGCGAAAAATCAACCCCTCAATCAATACGAAAACCAAAATCACTTTTTCCATTTGTCACTACCTGAATTGTATTTTAACTTCATTTGTGATTTTCTTATATATCATGTAGATCCGTTTAATTTCGTCTCTGATGAAATGGTAAAACTCTTTTATTTTGTTCTGTACCAACTAAAATATAAAAGTTATCTTGGAAAAGAATATTTTCACCCGAAAGAGTTCAACCATATATGGGTGAAGACACATATAAGCATGTAAATATTAGACAATCTTTTTATATGGACGATCATGTTGGCTTAAATGATAAAAGACAAAAGAAAGTTAATATTGACTATATTGGTAATCATTCTTGAATTTTTATTTTACATGGTATCTATTTTAAGAACTTACTTGATCTAATAAAAAAAAAACTAGTTCAAATAAACTAAAAAGGAATACTATTTATTCAACAATTTATTAAACAGATAATACAATAACTTATGTGTTTATATTTCTTCTCTAGATCATTATCACATGTTATAGTGATGAAGGTGTAATATAATAGTTACTACCTTAGCTCAAATTTAACTTATAATGATATTTACTACCTTAGCTTGCAATTCAACAAATCAATTTCTTTTAATATGCAAGTTTTGAGTTTAGTTTAGATATAATCTATAAGGATGAATGAGTGAAATAGAAGCAGCTTAGAAGCTGCGTAACCTATTTTTACTCCTCAGCCTAGTGCTTCTTTGTCACTAAACAAGTATCAATGTCTGAAAATTATGGACCAAAATATTTGAGAGGTTTGAACTACAGCGAAACTGTAGAATGGGCAAATTAAAAAGGATTGATAAAAGGCTAGTGCAATACGCTAATTAAGCTTTTGAGAATGCTTTTCCTTAGTGCTTTACAATCCTCCACATTCATGAGAAAGAACCAATAAATGGGAACTTTGATTGCCAAAAAGTGGGAGGCAGAATCCACAAAGGAGTAGGTGGAGCATATGGAAAAAAGGATTTTGGAAGAACACAGAATAAGTTGCCAGAGACCATAATACAAAGATAAAGCTATCCTATTTCTTAAAAAGAAGGTAACTTGAACTACCAAGTACAATTGTACAAACAAAAATCCTTATTGTCTACTGCACTCCATAAAAACTACATCACCAAACCAAGTCAGCTTAGACCAGATTTCACATAAAGGTTAGATCAATATTCATTCATTCAGATGAGTTATCAAACCCACAATCTAAATTCTACAAACAGATCCTTTATCTGACACTACAAGTGTCACATATACTACTGCAGCATTTAATGGTTTTACTTTAGCTCACCTAAGATATAACCATATTGGACCCACTTACTCATTCGTGTATGGCTAATGGGAAAAAACAAAATCGCCAATATTGACTAAACATGATTGTTTTTCTATTTTTCGTTGCAAGGACTTGGACACCCGTTTTCCCCGCACTTAGTTATTCATGATTCTCCAGCTGTAAACATCAGAACTTGTGGTAATGTCAAAACATGCACACGCTGACTGACTTATTCTAATGCTGCAACAGTAAGAAATTTACTTACGGATAACAACACACTTTTACTTCATTTTTCGTTCTCATCAAAATTTACAAAAACATAAGCATAAGTAACATGTAAAGAAAACCTTAATTGTTTAATGGTTTAATGGTTTTCGTTCAAAAAAGTAGCGTTGCTAACTTTTCTCTAATAAGAATGATGGCTAACATACACAACATAACTAACATCCAAGAATGAAATTTAGAATGGGCATGAATAAAATTATTACATTTCCAGTCTCATTATATTGAATACTATATCCCCCACTACATTGTTGCGATTCAGTCAATAAAGTTACAACTTACAACTCAATAGAACATATATAAGAAAAAAAGATCAGGAAAAAAATGGAATAAATTAACCCAGTAACGGGTTGTTACTGAGGCAGAAAACTTGCGTCCTGCCCATTTTCTATATCCTAGCCTTGGTAGACCATTTCACCATCTTTTTGCAAATTGTCATCATCTAAATAAATTCTATAAAATTCAAAAAACAAATCATTAAATAAATAAAAGGTTGAGTTGCAAGAAGGGGTTGCTACTGCGGGAAAGGGAATTGGAATCATGCCACCATTTGCTCCTGATCCATGTACATTTGCTCCATCCACGCTGGAATTGCTTCTGTTCCATTATGGCATTGTTTTCGCTGATCTTCAGTACCAGATTCTGGTGGAGCATCCTTCACAAGTGAGTTAACCCAAGACACGTCTGGCTCGTCATCCACGTTTGCTGGCACATTGTTTGAGTCCTTTGGAAGAGGACTGCTGCTGCTTCGAAATCCAAAGGATGCGGATTTCCTCAGCTTATTCAGCTCTTCTCCATTTATGGCCCAATCCACTTTTCCACCAGGTGAGCCCCAGTTAGAGAAGGTAGAGGGCTTTGGAGAAGGAAGCTCAGAATGATGGTTCACCATGCTTCGCTCAATAAAGCTGTGGCTACGCTTTGCAAAGGCAGCAGCTCTTGCATTCATAGCCACTGAGGCTCCTTCACCAGATGGATCAACCCTGAAGGATCGCGATCCAGCCATGTTTGAGGTGGAAAGGCCGGATGAATAGCCTCCCAGCTGCTGGTTCAAATTCGGACGCATTTGCAGTCCAGTTGGAGATTGTAACTGAGGTCCTCCTGCCACATCAAGTGAGATTCCATGGAATTTAGACAAAATTGACGGCTCAAGAGATCCAAAAGTGTCTTCAAGGTTAGAAGGCTTCACCCCTGAAAGCCTATTTAACTCCCCAATGTGATCACTCAAAGAAACATGAAAAGATGGACTATTCGGCATTGAATTTTTCCAGTTGGAAGGAGATGAAAGACCAGACATCTCATCAATCATTAGCTGATGTCGGCGCCGATGTGTTTCAAGTCCAAGCAGTTCAAAATCTAAGTCAATGCCTCTTGCAGTCGATGCAGTCTTCAATCTGCTTTTGGGCAGCTGCAACGTAGGGACAGAAACATTAGATTGAGACCAAATGGAACCAGTAATAGGAGAAGATGCTCCAGATGGTGTCAAAGGTGGTGTTGAGGCAGGTGGTATCAACACAGATGGAGAACCAAGAGCAATTGGGCTAACTGAACCCATCTCCAATGCAGAAGCACTACCAGAATAGGACCTTGGAGAAGGAATAGCAGAACCGGTAGAAGCATACAAGGGGCGAAGCTCCTCTGGCTTGTGAGCAAAGAAACAAACTCTCCTTGTACATCCACTCTCATCCTTGCAGAGTCGGGTCCTGTACTGGGCAGGGTGAAGCCAGCACTCAAAAATACCATGTGCATACTCACAGGTATCACCTTTGCTGCAAGATCCCTTCCGAAACTCGGGACAAGGGACACAGCTGTAATGGTACTTCCTTGGATCACGTCGTCTTGCATTCTCCCCTGGGTGAACAAAGGGGCACTCAGTCCAGTCATGAGAATATGCCCTCGAACAAGGCTTCACTTTGAATGTATACATCCTAAACTCATCAGTGCCATATATCCCATTCTTTATGTCTGGAAGGGAGAGATCAATGGGATAATCTTTTGAAGCACGATGTGGGGTCATATCTTGCCTTTGTTCCTCAATTTGGTCAATCACTTCTGGAAGGGAGAAACATGCCTGATCGGCATCACAGATACCCTCCAGGAGGGCCCGTAGCACCCTGGCCCTTGGATTGAAGAATGAATTAGCCACAGAGACAATCAAGTCAATTGGCCTGTTACCGTCAGCATCAACAGCACTAACATCAGCAGATGCATCGAGCAAAAGCTTGACAACCTCAACAGAAGCAGCAGAACCCCCAGCAACAGCACAATGAAGAGCAGTAGCCCCATCTGACCTACTGGCCCGGTTAACATCAACACGACCCGTTCCAATAATATAAGTTGATACTTCAATGCTTCCAAACATAGAAGAAACCATGAGAGGAGTCCTCTCCTCATAACCTATTTTCTTTGATCCAGCACGCCTTCCATACCACAACCCCACCCCATCAACTTCATCACCCTCCTTTTCAACTGCGTCTTTAAAGCCGATTAGATCATCCGCCGCAGAAAACTCAAGCAAAGCAGAAATTCTATGATGCATCCCTTCTTTTCCACACTCATCATCCATGACTAAGCCAATTTGAGAAGGTATCCCCTTGGAAACACCGC